ATTGCGGTCACTCCTCATGAACAGTACGATCAAAATGTGTTCCTTTGCAATTCCATTTGATTCACGAAAGTTTAATTTTAGCTTAGCGTGCATTATTTAACGTGCATCTATCAAATTAATTCATTAATCAAATTCATGACGACATTCATGGCGAGCCTACTAAGTGAACAAGTGCAAGGTGAACCTACCGAGCCAGCAGGTTCGATAACTTAGGGCGATAAAGATTTTGTTTCGCACAACTAAACAAAATCGTATATGTTTCGTGAAGAGCTTCGTGCTTCAGAATTTAGTACCTTGAGCACAGCTACATCTTGCTCTACAGGTAGCTATAATTCGTCTTCACTAATATGGACGAAAAATATCATTCCAACAAGAAAAATGGTAATGTTATTAACTCCTAAAAAGTTTCTATATCATCGATCTCACCTTCAGTGGCATCGTCAGGATGGCCGAGCGGTCTAAGGCGCTGCGTTCAGGTCGCAGTCTGGTTCTCCAGGCGTGGGTTCGAATCCCACTTCTGACAAATATTTTTATTGGACTATTCGTCTCATTGAAGGAATCTCCTGAGAGCGGAACTTTTTGAACACACTATAACTCTAAATATCCAAGCTCGTAAAATGAATTAAACAAAATGCAAAATTTGAGTGAGGATAATATCAGAATCTTCTTGAGCGATCGAAAAATATCCTGAATAAATTGAGAAATATACTTTGTGCCTGAAGGTTCTTGCTTGGGAAATAGCTTGGTAAGTATAGTGGCGGACAATATTTTAGAGGTGTAGTGGAATTTTATTTTATGTATTTCTATTATATATATTTAACCACAAGTGTGTACACGCACCCTAAGTAAGTGAAATTATTTGATATTTTTCTTCTTAGTAAATATTGTCGCACTTCTTAGTAAATATTGTCTTGCTTCTTAATAAACCTTGTCGCTCATCTCAGCAAATATTGTCGCGTATCTCAATAAATATTGTCGCGTATCTCAGCAAATATTGTCGAGTATCTCAATAAATATTGTCGCGTATCTCAGTAAATATTTTTGCGTATCTCAGTAAATATTGCCGCGCTTCTTAGTAAGCATATCCGAAATCTACAATTCGACGAAGAATAGCGAAGTGATAACTACAGAGTATAACAGAGCAATAGACACGCTCTGACTTGTGACCACCACTGTCATATATAGCGGTCAACGAGCGTACGCGGCGAGGATGTCATTTTTATTGAAGTCGGAATTGAAGACAGCGGAAAAGACCGAGATACGCAGGCCGAGACCAGCGTCAGCAACGCAGCTAAGAAATATAAAAAATTGTGTCAAGAGAACGTAAATGAACTGAAGCAAAATATGGAGGAATAAAAGCGCCGTCAAGAAATGAAAGCTCTCGAAGACGAGGAAGTGAAGAAGCGTAAGACTGAGAGGAGGTTGCAGATGCAACACAAAATATTCGTGGCCGAGAGCGCACTGAGTCGGGCTAAACAAAAAGAGGCAAATGGTAAATTGAAAAAAGTGGCGCAAGAACGCAAGGAAGACATGGATGTGCAGCAGGATGATTGTAGTGCCCGGCACAAGAAGCAATGGCAGCGAGTTGTAGATGGGGAAGATTTTCCAGATTGATGAATAATGGAAGCTTGAAGATAAAGGATTAGGTTTCGAGCATTGGAAGCAATGGCGAAGAGTAGAGGACAGGGAAGTTTTAATTATACTCGTATATTTGGGGATACAAGAGACTTAGAGATGATGGATTATAGAGAGCAGTCACGTCAAATGAGGAGGCTGAAGGCTAAAAAGAATGAAGTTTGTCTCTAATGGTTCGTAATTATTAAATCATCACGTAGTTATTTTAACTAGGATAAAAATTTGATTGATTTCGTTGCTTTTGGGTGCATGTAGAATTGCCAATGCATCGACAGATGTATAACTTTTATATTTGTTAAAATGTTTAAAGTAAAAATGCAAATAAAGAAAAATGTATCAGGAGATAATTTGTTTCAATTTCAAGCTTACACTGAAAATATTTTTAATGAAATTTAAATGCAGGAATACAAGCCAAAAAAGTTTATTACAAGATTAAAAGTTGAATATATAAATTCAATTTAGAGTAGCTGGTAGCTCTGTTGAAGCACTTAGGCTTGAAGTGCCAATATCTGAAATGAGAATAAGCGGTTGTGCGAGAGAAAATATTATATTCTGAATTCGAAAAGGGGCTATAAAATATTGTGTATGCGAATGCAAGTGGCCAATAATTAACAATAATTAAATAACTCGTATCATTTGACATTCAAATCATCAATTGGATCCTTAGTCAAAGCATTCAAGACTGCAGGGAATTTTCTTTACGCAGGCTGCTAGACACTAACAACAGAAAATAATGAAATAAATTGAGGAAAAATTTCGAAGACCTCAGAAATTATTTGCCAATTTCAATATAAAAAATTCGCGTTCAATTTCAAACTATGAAGTTACTTTATAGATTAGATCATTGCAACAGGAAAAACCACTGCACCTTGAATAAATAATCGCTCTCTCCTCTGATTAGGAAAATATCATCACTGCTAGATTTCTAATTTCATTTTAGGTACTGTACTCAAAATACACATAATTTTTATAATGTGTACAAAATTTCACCAATGTAACAAATAATTAACGTTTGAGAGGAAAGCTGTAAGTAGCCTAAAGCCGTTCACTATTTTAGCTCACAGATGACTTTCAAAATAAAATTTTCGGGCAAGAGTAAACAAGTTTCGGGGTTCTTCATCTTTGCGTTCACATACAATTTTGGGCAATAAAACACGATGAAAAGTAACTTTTATTTACACGCTTCAATTTAATCTAAGCTAATATAGCAACACTCGCGCTCCGTGAGAACGTTTTGAACAGCAAGCGGTCACCCATGCCTCGGATGCATGATTACCAATACTGCAATACCATCCACCAGTCACGGTCTAAACTTTAACATTGATTCAAAAATAATTAAACCTGATGCTAAATGCAACAAGTTTTGGAAGAATTACGGGATTTGTTATCAAACAACCTCGATACCGTAACCTAGAGCATCAAGCTGTAATTGATTGCAAAGCAGAAGTATCAACGGCATTGGTTGGCTCTCAACTAGCAACGCTTCAGCCATCCATTCCTTTCTCGGCAACAAAGGCCATGAGGTAACAAATGGCTAGTGGGGAAAGCAGACCTGATATGCCAGGCATATTAAGAAGAAAAGTTTAAAATAACATTTTAAACGTTGTTTACATTGTCGTCGATGTTATCGAATGCGAACATAAAATTAATTAAAAATAAAAAAACTTCTATCTGGATGTAATGGATATCTAGATAATGAGCACCAGAAGAGTTTACTGTTAATATTCACTAACAACTGACATATTTGAGGCAGGACGAGAGGACATAATCAAGCAATAGTTCACGCTGTTTCAATTAAGTGTTAACAGATTTACTGACAATTATTTCATATAGCTTATGACGGTTAGAAATAGAACTTTTCATGCCGATAACAACTCCAGAAATGGAAATTTGAAAAAATGATAACTTATGACCGACCATCAAGTTAAATAAAAAGTTTGATAGTCAGAAATGTATGGCCGCACGAAAAACTTTTACATACTTTAAATGAAAACTTAAATAACATACACAATAAAAACTTCGTTAAAGCATATTATAGTATCTGGATCATAGTTCAATCTTTTATAAATAATCTCATTCATGAATAAACATAAATAGCTGTCTTTTGGGGTAAACAATTTATGTAGGCTTAAAAAATTCCCCAAAAAAGAAAAAACATGTTGATAAATAAATGTCAACGCACTACAAATAAGTAGACAAGCAACAAATGAATTTCTTCTGCCTTCATTTCAAAGGACTCGAGCGCTCGCAACAAGCAAAATGGTCATAAGCAAATGGCACAAATTCACGGCGAGTTTAGGCTTATCTCAAGCGAGACCTCAAGCAATGGCACGAAAGGAAGTACGGACGCTAACTCTTGAACCAACAGAACACAGGCGCGCAAATTAGAGTCGTTGACCACACAAGATATGGCACTGCGTTTCGCTGACCAGATAACATCAAATATCGACAAGACCTGCTGGTCGATTACGTCAATTAATACCGTACACTAATAAACAACTGCTTCCAGCGATTAATGGCACTAACCATTGCAAATCTTAAACCATTGCAGTCAATCAGTTCATCAAACTGATGAGTATCATGGTTCGTAAACTAAACATTGAGAGTAATGTTGACATGGATATCAGGAGATATTTTCCCGCATTTCAGAGACAGTGATCAGTTAAATTTACAGCGTGAAAAGAAGAGTGGAAGTGTACTTTTGATAGATCAACTACAATATAACCAACATGACCAGGAACGATTTCTTAAACTTATGACCTTCTTTAATATATATTAAAATTGAATCTGCCTGCTTACTAGTAGTGATTTCTCAGCTAGAAAAAGCTTTCTACGTCCATGACGAGCTGCTCAACCAATTGCATGTGAATAATTTTGTTTATGAGGCATTGTCATCGTAAACTAGTCGAGGCATCAGCAGCTTAAAAACTGCGACTTACGCATGCTTCTTGCTTCTGAAATGTTTAAAGAAACAGTCAACCTTACCCAAGTATTGATTCTCTAACGGAAACTCGAGTATAGCTCCTCTAGCGGAAACCCGAGTATAGCTCCTCTAGTGGAAACCCAAGTATTGCTCCTCTAACGGAAACCCGAGTATTGCTCCTCTAACGGAAACCCGAGTACTGCTCCTCTAATGGAAACCCGAGTATTGCAACCCGAGTATTGCTCCTCTAACGGAAACCCGAGTATTGCTCCTCTAACGGAAACCCAAGTATTGCTCCTCTAACGGAAACCCGAGTATTGCTCCTTTAACGGAACCATAGAACGACAGCTAGAATCTCTAGCGGGAAAATAGAAGCTACCTAAATCACTTTTGATCGTACGATGTTTAAAATCTTCAAGAAGAACGCAAACACATGAAGCCCTCAAACAAATCTAAAAAAGTTTAGTCAGTTTTGATGCAAGTTAAAATATCTGCGATGAAATTAGAATGGTTCAACCGAATTGCACCTTATGCAGCGAAAAGTGTGAGAAGCTCAGAATTAACGACATTTTTTTCGCACATTTGAAAGAGGAAGTAGGCCTGCTTCTGGAGAAACTAAATTCAACATAAGATAAAACGCACGTATTTGGGAGGAATGGTCCTCAAAACTGCACGTTACAAATCAGAAGCCATGTATGATTTAAACAAAAATGTCAACGAGCAAAAACTTGCGACGTTTTGTAACAGAACTAAATGCGGACAAGAAACCTTCCTTGTTAAGTAAGACCTTTCCAGTTTCTTTTGTGAAGAGGATGGCGCCCACGTCGCTTGTGTCAGGACCGGGGGGCGACGTCCCAATAGAAGAGCTCAGTAGGCAGGGACTCGTCCCAGCTTTAGTGGTCCAGGATCCTGAGGTTACCGGAGACGATTTTGTTCTCGAGGATCGCGCCGGGCGGGATGTCGATCCTATCGCCGTGGTTTGCGATGATGATCACGGTTCCCTGGAGCAACGAAGCTGCGTTAATAATTATCAATATCGTGACCTGGAGAACATCATGCTGAGGAAACTATATGTCGGGACAAGGAGCAGAGGAGCAGGTTATGTCGTGGGGTACATATTATTGTGACCAGCAACTGGCTGGTCTGACGGATGATCGTACAGATGATTACGTGGATGATCGTACAGATGATTACGTTTATGATCGAACGGATGATCGTACAGATGATTACGTGGATGATCAGTATGATCATCTCGCAAGGTTTTGAGATCATTATGTGCATGCGCCTCACCCTCAGGGACACGCCCTTGCCGAAGGTGACGTCGCCGGAGACGGTGAGGTGGTCGAGCTCCAGCATGTCGGGCACCGACGCAAACCTCTTCAGGAACTCCTGCACACCACAGCACAATGTTAACCTCACATCTTACACTGCGTGAAGTTTTTAACACGCAACAACTAATGTCAATTCGCCTAATATTGTTACAAAATTATTTTAGAAACCTCAGGAACTCCTGCACACCACAGCACAATGTTAACCTCACATCTTACACTGCGTGAAGTTTTTAGCACGCAAGAAGTACTATTAATTCTCCAAATATTATTTCAAAACTATTTTAGTGACCTCAGGAACTCCTGCATACCACAGCACAATGTTCACCTCACATCTTACACTGCGTGAAGTTTTTAACACACAAGAACTAATATTAATTCGCCTAATATCATTAAAAACTATTCTAGTAACCAGACTGTGAATTCAATGAATAGTAATTGTCATAACAAATAATTTATAGTTTTTTAATAATGTGCATAAAAAAGGCATTAAAAAGAGTTTCGAAGACTTTGCCCAATGAATGTGAGAATATCGCGAACATGTAATATTGAACTGGGACCCAATCAGAAAAATGAGATACAGCAACAAATGATGGATCTTTCAATAAATTGAAATTAATTGAAAGAAATGTTAACACAATTCAGAAGGTAATGCCAATATATAATCTAAGCATTTCAATATCTATGGTCTATGAGTCAATAGTGCAATGCCTTTCTCCAGGTATTGAGCTCTTTTTTGAATAAAGAAAACTTGACTCAAGAATTTTACTGAATTAGATGTTATCAAGAATCTATATTTCAGTAGCCAAAAAGCCCCCCAAATTTACTTAGGTACAATAAAATGTCGCAAGATTTAACTAGAAGTGTCACTGATATGACGTTGATATTATATGTCACTCGCTGCGGTAATATTTTTACTGTAGTTACAAGTTTACCGATTTATTTCTTGGTCATTGATATGTACTTGCTCAATATTTCACTGTTAATTTAACAATAATAATATCTCAGATAATAATAATATTCGTCAAACGTTGGAGATTAGCCCACGTCTGACCCACAGCTTTTCCTTAACGTGTATCGCTGTATTTTCAGATCTAGCAGGTATTCGATCCCGCAACTCAGAGCTCCAATCTCTGTGATCCAGACCATTACATCACGTGGTCGTTACCTTGACTCTAGCGAAGTGGTTGGGGCCGAGCTTGACGAGGGGCGTGGTGGGGAACATCCTGAGAGGGGACATGATGAGGGCACCGTTCTGCAGGCGGTAGAGATTGGACATGACCAGCAGGAGGTCGTCAGTCTTCTTGACGGGCAGGAACCGCGACCTCGGCACGTTTATACCTGCAACCCAGTGATGTTTATTACTTTAATTTGTCACAGCCAGTAGAAAATGTCAAGAATTATTAGCACTTGCTGCAACAGATCCATAATACAGATGCGGTGAAGTTGAATAATTCAAGAAGTTAATGAGATTCAGCTTCAACTTGGCTACAGGTTTGAAGTTAAACTGTGATTAAGTTATTATTTATTAATAATAAACTGATGAAAAAAATCAATGAAGAGAAGGAGTCAAGGATGAATATTTTGTACAGCATTTCAATAATAGAATGCTCCGTAATATACACCACATCTATGAACGATAACGTTTTTGCCACTGCGATAAGAGTTGCATATGTAATCATCACTTGAACACACGCCATGGTTAACAAGGGGCACATCTAGTAGCGAGGTTACCAAGGTTACCATGTAACCAAGGTTTCCCAGAGACCCACTGAGACGTAGTGTTACCATGTAACCAATTTTACCCAGAGACCCACTGAGACGCAGGGTTACCATGTAACCAAGGTTACCCAGAGACCCACTGAGACGCAGTGTTACCATGTAACCAAGGTTACCCAGAGACCCAAGTTACCATGAGCGCCGTTGAAACTCTTGACGGCGGCGCCGACGGCCTGCTCGAGCTGGATGATGTTGAGGCCGTTGTCGAGGGTCTTGTGGTTGATGATCACCTCCATGTCCAGGCTCTGGTTCTGCACCACGCGCGCCATCGCTGCATTAAGGTACCGGGAGTTCATTTTTAATGGACCTCGCAGTGTCATCGTCAGAAACTTTGAATAAATTGTTTTTAAATGTTTATGTTTATACATTTATTCCGGCGTCCTCAAAGCACCTGATTCAGCCAGTGAGGATGAAAAGAATAAAGATCGTAATTCTTCTACCGTTGAATACGTTTCACGAGTTTAGTCAGGCTACTTTGATTATAATTTAAGCGAGATTTTATCATTTCTAATACTCGTTTTCAATACTAGTTTCAACATTGGAATCTTCATTTTTAATTCGAATCTAATTACTTGGGGGGAAAAGCAAAATCAACCCGTGACAGATATATCCCATATATCCCAAATTGCAACAAGATAAAAATAAATTCCCGAGTGCATAAACTCGAATCAACACCTTTCAACAAATTAATTAGAAGATAACAATTAGAATGGACAGCGGCAGCTCCTTTTCAAAAACCATAACGACCCAGGTCAGTAATATAATTTAATTATGTCGAAACTTTTCAAAGAACAGAGAACGCAACATTTCTCACCGTCCAATTTGATCCACAAGTTGTTGGTGTTGAAAATCTTGAAGGTTTTGACAGACTTAAAGTCTTCGAGATGATCCTTGGGGACTTGCGCGATCTCGAGCAGCCTGAGTTTGTTGTCGTACTTAATAAGCGTGCCGCCCTTGACGTCGGCGCGCGTCTTGTCCGTGACCTCCATGAGGAACTCGCACGGTGGCTGCTGCTGTGCCTCCTCCCCCACCAGGAAGTTCAGGATGTTCAGATCCACAGTCGCTCCCAGGTTGTCAATGTTAGAGATGAACACGTACTCCTTGCCCTGTACACACGTGCAACATGAACACGTACTCCTTGCCCTGAACACACGTGCAACATGAACACACGTGTAGCATGAACACGTACTCCTTGCCCTGAACACACGTGTAGCATGAACATACGTGTAACATGAACACGTACTCCTTGCCCTGAACACACGTGTAACATGAACACACGTGCAACATGAACACTTGCTCCTTGCCCTGAACATACGTGTAACATGAACACGTACTCCTTGCCCTGAACGCACACGTGTAACATGAACACACGTGTAACATGAACACACGTGCAACATGAACACACGTGTAACATGAACACACGTGTAACATGAACACACATGTAACATGAACATACATGTAACATGAACACATCAGGATCCTCATAACCACGAAGTGTTCTTGACTAACATGTATAACGTGGATCAAAGACCCCTCACTCGCGCCCTACGGCGCAGTCACGAGACGTCACCTGATTGATGAACTCCTGCAGGAGGCCTGAGTTGCTGAAGGCCTCATAGAAGTCGCCGTGGCCGGGCGGGTACCACGCCTCCAGGTCCGTGTCTGTGCCCATCGTGCGCCCTGCGAGGGACAACGCGATACTTTAAACGGGCTGCTTTCTTCAAACTTATTCTTGAATTTAAGCGCCTAATTTCGTGGCAAATTTACAAAAAGTAACTCCTTTAGTATCGACTCCATTAAATTTCACCATAAAATAGCTGGAGTACGGCGTACGTAGTAGCCTATCGTGCTCGCTAAAACAAATAAAAAAATTAGATATGAAGTAACAATTCAACTGAAGGAGGTTTTAGAGACAGCCGCATGATGCGTCAGCGTAATGTTGGCTGACAAACGAGGAAAAAAATTCAACGCAATGCGAAAATGACAGCTTTTGTTTGGAATCACTGGCCACGCATTTCGTCGTATTTCCGAAATGTATATATACCAGTACTAATTTGTGACGCGTCAGATGCCACGATGAACGACAGAACTATCACATTCCGAGGCACCAGTCGAATCTAATCTACATTCTCTTGGCAGACAAGTAAATGAGTGCCATGTGCAGACTTAATGAAGTGTTCTTAAGTTTAATGGTTATGTTATTTTAAAGTGTAATGATAACATATTTAAAGTAATATATTAAAAGTGTGTAGTAACATATTCTAAGTGTAATATTAATTTCTGATTGAAGTGAGGTGAAAAGCATGAGCTAATTTCTCTTCCTGCGTATGTGTGGACCGAAGAGTTGGGCGAGTCTCCTTGTACATGTAAGATAGATGAATATAAAGGGTAGAAATGTATCAAGATGATAAGCTGAAGTACCTATGGGCATGAGAGATTCCTTGTTGATTCTGGGGTAGCGGGACTGGTTGAACGTGTAGAGTTTGACGTTGAGGCCTTGATATTTCCTGATGACTTTCTGGGTGTCCTCATCAGTGTTGAATGAATTCATCAGCACCAGCGCCACGCTCGAGTTATACGTTCTGTTCAGATGCTGCAAGGGTAAAAACGGATCAAACTCGTGCCCTTTTTACACACTTGCTCCTTCAGTATAAATATATACTATACATTTTTATTATAAATACATATTATAAATATATAAAGAAGACGGAATCTCAATCTTCGCTTCCCATTTGAAGCGGCCAAAAATATATGCTACTCAATTCAAAGAAAACTTATACACATGTGTTTCAGAAGAGAATAGAGAACTTTTTAATCATTTGATGATGTGCACATGTATATCTTGATGCGAACCACTCTCTGATTTGAATATTTTTTGACAGGTGCGAACAACAAGGTTTCGACTTGCGGGAATTCGACGAGAGAACAAAGGCACAAATAAATACTGACTGTGTTTCCTAAAAATCTTGAAGTGCGCCAACTTAATTTGGATGCAGAAGCTTGGCAAAAAATTTAGACTCAATCTAGCGTAATTTTGTCGGAAATTGGAAAGATTTCTTTTCACACACAACTGATATCATAAATATTACAAGCAAGGTATGAAATTCAACTGAAATCGGCTTTCCAAGTCACCCTACATGCCCTAATATTCGGAGCCAGGTGCACGTGTAAGTTCAAAGATTGTCCTGACAGCACCTGCAATTAAAATTTGCCGTATTTAATATTAAAGAATACTAATTAACATCATAGAAAACTAATTAACACTACAGAGAACTAATCAACACTAGAGAGAATTGATTAGCACTATAGAGAATTAATTAACATCATAGAGAACTAATTAACACTACGGAGAATTAATTAGCACTATAGAGACTAATTAACATCATAGAGAACTAAACACTACGTAGAACTAATCAACACTACTGAGAACTAATCCTCACAACAGAGAAATAATCAACACTATAGAGTACTAATTAGCACTATAAATAACTAATTAGCACGATTGCCATACCTCGATCTGCTGCACAGTCAAGTCCAAGAAAGTGAGCTCAGACCTCACGGGGATAACAGACTTGGGGCCTTGACATCCCATGGACGTGCCCAGTCCACCGTTGAGCTTCACGACCACGAGCTTGTCGAGCAGCTTGGACAGCTCCTCGTCAGACGGCCGCTGCAGGTCGCTGTATTGTCGCACCTGCACAACACGTCTTATTCGCAGTAATTCACATCGTCAAAACAAAAAAAAAATCATCCTGGGTTTCGTATATTTTTTAATGAAACAACCAATAAAAACATGGTACTAGTCAAATAAAATCAGTAACTATAAGATAATACACGTACGTAGTCTTAATCCCATCCCAAAGACAACCTCATACCTGATACCGACCATAACAACATGATCGAATGTACAAACGATGAACTATACTTCGATTATATACCGACAAAAAATCTACACACCGTATCATCAATACCACATTAAATAAATCAACATAATATCATATTACATAATATAATATACATAGATTCATTATGTACATAGACAAGAACTAACAGCCTCATCGTCGAGTTTCTGTATCTGGTCCCAGTGTACAGAAGGTCCCGCCTCATTAATGAAGCGGCCAAAGAATATCAACGTAATATCATATTACATCATATAATATACATAGATTCATTATGTACATAGGCAAGAACTAACAGCCTCATCGTCGAGTTTCTGTATCTGGTCCCAGTGTACAGAAGGCCCCGCCTCGTTAATGAAGCGGCCAAAGAATATCAACGTAATATCATATTACATCATATAATCTACATGGATTCATTATGTACATAGACAAGAACTAACAGCCTCATCGTCGAGTTTCTGTATCTGGTCCCAGTGAACGGAAGGCCCCGCCTCATTAATGAAGCGGCCAAAGAGCCGCTCAAAGCCCTCGAGCTCCTGCGCGGCGCTCTCCCTCGCGGCGGTCGACACGCACGTCTGTAGCAGCTTCTGGATCTCGTGCGACAGCTGCGTCTGCGCGTCCTTCTTCGTCAGCTCCTTGAACTCCATTGACGGCGAGCGCGTCAAGGTAAATAGCTGTAATGAAACAAGGCGTTAACTTAAATTGCTGAAATGGATCAGGTCGTCAAAGAGAATAGCTAAATAGCTGCAATGAGATAAGGCGTCGAGGTAAACAGCTGAAATGGAACAAGTCGTCGAGGTGAATAGCTGAAATGGAATAAGGCGTCGAGGTACATAGCTGAAATGGAACAAGTAGTCGAGGTAAATAGCTGAAATGGAATAAGGCATCGAGGTAAATAGCTGCAATGAAATAAAGCGTCGAGGTAAATAGCTGAAATGGAACAAGTAGTCGAGGTAAATAGCTTAAATGGAAAAAGGCGTCGAGGTAAATAGCTGCAATGAAACAAATCGTCAGAACAGCTGTTGCCACATGCAGGTCAAGTATCAATAGTGTCACAAGCATGAAACGCTATGTGTAAGCATAGTAGCTCTCAGAATCACAGCCATCGATGGCAAACTCTACTTCAATTAAGGCATATCGACATGAGCCAGAGCATAAAAAGCTTCAAAAATAAATTGAAAAGTCCTACCTATATCATCGAGCACACATATTTTCGGTTTAAATAACCTTTATAATTAAATCGTACAATTTAATTGACTTAAAAAAAGAAAAGAGACACAATAAGTAAAGTAGGTTAAAATAATCACTTCCGGACTAAACTACTTATTTTTCAGACCAAATAACAGTGATAATCATGAAACTAGTACATTTATAGAATATTTTGAAACTCTTGATTCAGTAAAATATTAAGTGACCAACATTGGTGGAAGTGGCATGGAGATTTCTGGCCCATCAATTCGAGGCACAAAGCATTATATTAGCATTGAAATCTTGAATAGAACAGCTACATCTCGTATGAACATTATAAGCAAATTGAAGTTTAACAATAACTCCCACACCCGTTTAAAACAAGGCATATAAAACAATGGTAAAATTAGGACTAATTTTTTCGATTTTCCTACAATTATAGACGTTGCAAGTCAATTTGCTCTAAATGCGTACGTCGGCAAAACAACACTGGACGCGCTATCGTTCAAAAATCATTCATGTAACAATAACGCATGATATGGTAATGCTTATGGCACAATTAATCAGGCGCATATCTTTATTCCACCTAATTAGTGAACAGACGCTGCTCGAATACAGGATCATTTCCGGCACGAAACTTTAAAATTATTGTTATCTATATCTATATAATTATTGTTATCATTTGTTATCTATAAGAAGTGGGATTTAATTACAGGTTAATACCAAAATCTCTTTGGCTTAGAATTAAAGTCCAGACAATCATGAGAACACACAAAATACTTGTGAAAACACTTCCGATCACCATTATATATACATGTAATTAAGTATTTGGATTCATCCAATGTATAATTGAAAGTAAAACGTTTAAAATATAGTAAAACGACAATAAAATCAACATAATTTTGTTCATAAACTTACTTTGAAGTTGTAGGCCATGATGCAAAGCAATAAACCTAAGTTCAAATAGAAGAATTTAGACCAATATTTTCCTTCAAAAGGATCCGCGTTCCGAAGAAGAGGTCAATAGTAGTTACAAGTGTGATCTTTGCACCACCGAATCTCCCAAGTTCAAATTTAAGAAAAACTTTCGGGCAACATACGTCTAAAGAAGAATTAAATTTAATATTTCGGTAATAATCATCATGTCTTTAATAAAACAATTGTCATGAAATATTTTGAAAACAACCCACAATCTGTTCTTTCTCAACAAAAACTACAACTTCCGTTGAAATTCGCGGTATTAACCTTCTAAACGATTAAGCATGAGAAACTAAATCAAGCTTCTTCAATCAGCTCGACTAACTGCACCAATTCGCAGCCTAAATGACATTCATTTCACAAGTTTGAAATTGCGCGAACTTTACATAGAACTGATGCCGGTGCCTTCTATACGACAGCAGGTGAATGGAGTACAAAGATTAGGGTCGCCGTAGTAACAGCTATTAGCTGAGTAACAGCTCGCCGTAGTAACAGCTATTAGCTGAGTAACAGCTCGTCGTAGTAACAGCTACTAGCTGAGTAACAGCTCGCCGTAGTAAAAGCTATTAACTGAGTAACAGCTCGCCGTAGTAAAAGCTATTAACTGAGTAACAGCTCGCCGTAGTAACAGCTATTAGCTGAGTAACAGCTCGCCGTTTTACAGCTAAAGACTTGAGCTATATTTGTATTGATGCAAGTTTAATTGATGACTAGAGAATTATTTTTTGATTTTTTCTATTGTAAAAGCTCTAATTACTAGAAAATGAATATTGTATATTCGAAACGTCGTATTCTATCAAAATGTCTTTTAGTAATCCGCTTTTTTATCTGCCTGCGCCAGCAAGAAATATTGTTCGACTCGTTAAGAAAACAAACAAGAGATTATCAATAAAAACCATTCTCTGGTTTTCAATCAAACTTGCACAAAGGGAGAACTTTATATCAATCTTTATATTCGTATGTACATTTCCGCGTCACCAGAGAACCTGGCAGTGGACACTCCTCACAATAAACAACACATATTTTGCTTCACAAACACGCACAGATGATATTGCCACATAGAGATGTTTTTTCTATTAAACTGTGAGGGTATACGTGATACAGGCGCACGCATATGCTGCCGGCCAGGGCCGCGCAATTAAGGGAAGTGAAGAGTTGCGATGTTGACTTTGATGGATTGCAGCGTGTGATGATACATGGCCATCTTATCAGTATGATGAGGACTTGCATTAGATATGATACAGCGCTCGGCGTTGCTGCCGTTTGTGTTAGATAAGATACATAAATAAAACATTGCTTTAGATGTGCACTCGATGAGAAATGTACAAGTTTATGAATAAAGAATAGTCCCACGGGTGAGATTTCTGAGATATTTTCGGGGGTAAGTGAGATTCTGCTGATCAAAAATTAATTTAGACGTGAATACTTCAGTAAATAACTTAGTGGTCAGTACATGTAAATGATGTAATAGATAACTTATTTTACCAAATTATTTACAAGGTAGATACATAAAGGGCCTATAAACATTTCAATGGAAATACCAAAAATTCGTTTAATTTACACGTTCTGACGAGAGCTGGTTATCACAGATAATTCTTATCATTAAATGAATTTCACAGGCGCGAACGCTCGCGGAAACATTCTCACTGAGAAATGCACCAAGGTAAAGTGTTAAAATATTTAAACTAGAGCAACTTGCGCTGAACTCCAAAGGGTTGCTGGTCATGAAATTCGCTCAGCAAGAAGAATAGCGCGCCGACACGCGCGTATGTAAATTCAATGATTTCCATGATAATCATTTCGCCACTTTTGATCCATGCATGCGTGAAGCAGGACAGGGTGCATCTTCAAATATTTAGCAGTGAAGTTCATCATTCGTAACGTCGCTTCCAGTCTGTCGCATGAATTCTTAATTGTGTTGCTCAAAAGTACGCAACTACAACAAAGAATTATATTGTAATTATAAAAACTATTCTGAGATGAATTATAGGGCACTATTTAAGTATATAGGCCCAATAACAAGGCGGAGATTTGCGTCAACGAATGCTCCACCACGTATAGGCTAAATGTCCATTTTTGCTGTTGTGTAACATTGCAATTGTGTATGTATATAATTAAACTGTAAATCAATATTGCTTCATGTTTTCGAAAGATCGGAAAATAATTTGGACAGGTAGTTAAAAAAAAATCTTAGGAAAGCCATACGATTTGCAAATATTCAGTGCCTGTATTGACGCTCCATCAGAATATTGTAAAGAATTCCGAATCTACGGAAAATATACGATTGTCAAGCCAGCAAGCACAAGCCGGCAAATGTGATGAAAATCCTTCGATGCACATGCAATCTTCACCGTTTGCGTCATTCTGACTGAATTTGGCCCGACAAAAGTGGCGTATCAGCACTGCATCCGCTCTATGCATGCTCGTGCTTTCGATAATAAAAAGTGTCATAATTTGGAAAATAAGACATATTCGTTTTTCTGAGCGTGGTCGTATCACATATACGTATACCGGTGAGTTTCAGAGCGCCGTTGTCCGACCAAACGTTACATCAGTTCAATGGCACAGCTATGCTGCGACGCCAGGGCATGAATGGCCATGAGATAGCGTGCCAATGTCCTATACAAACAAATGCATTAGCACACCTCTGGTTCTCGTCCAAGCCAAGGTCTTGGCTGTATCGTTGAGCGACAACGCAGTAACTCGTACGCTGTACTGAATAAACGACAACAAAATAATCTAATGCCCCTAGAAATATTTGGCAATTAATAATCATAGTACAGGTTTTTCGCGAAAAAGCTACGTTGCTTTACCTACACATTAAATTTGTCTCAACAATTAATATTGAAAACTGGTCAAATGTTAGTTCATTATAAGAAAATCGGATGAACACAGCATTACGCTATTATTTAGTAACATTTACTTCGAAACGACTGTGCATGTCCTCCAACGCCGAGTGCACTTCTTGTCGTTCTGTTGCTATGGTAACTCAACTATATGAATTTACACTAATGGAGTTCCAATCCGACCTAAATAAAACCAACTCGAGTCTAAATAGTTTATGTGTACCCCACAGTTACGTTGTGGGGTATGAAAATTGGCATAATTTGGCGACATTCCCTCGCACGTTAACATTGCTAGTAAAAGTTTTTCAATTGTTTTCTACCAGCATATAAAATTTATCCATTTTTTCATGATCAAACTTCGTGTAGTTAGAAATACATGAAATCTAATATTTATCAAAAACTCCGCATTTACGCTACTTTTCAGCTAATTAAAAATTATCGAAATAATCATATTTCTATATAATACATCACAGATATAATCCATAATTCTTATCTAAATCAATCCTTGATAGTAAAATCGTGCACTTCAACAAACTCGCAGCAGAATGGAATCGCTTCTGTTATCACCACACCGTAAACGTTTCTACACTACATTCAACATTTACGAAAAGCGGCTACAATTAAGAACATAAATGCAATACTTATGAACAAGCAGAAGAATGCTTTCAAAAGAAATTTAATTAGAAAATAAACAATGGATCACATTTGAATATTACTAATTTTTAGTCAACTACAATATAATCAATTCAACAAAAAGAAATTAAACGTTTCTAGTTTACTTAAACATTATCAGTAAAGTCCGAAATTGCATCTCAAAATCATTCCGTCGTGCTTGATCGGTGTTGACCAGTCCAGCTGCAGCGCATGACTTTGAAAAGAAGCTAAACAATTTATGTCATAAGGTTGGCGGAATACAGCCTCGCCAATGAGAAGCTAACGAATGTGAGTAACTCTAAAGTTCGAGTGCTCTGCACCCTAAAGAAAATTCCATTTTCCGGATGTCATCATGATGATCGATTAAAGACCGCGCCTTTTCTGTTATTCAATATTGTCTCATCGTCGTTTACTGTGATCAAGCCTTACAAATTCCTCTCCCGAGATAATTCAATGTAAGGTTACTCTTAAATGGAATGCTAGTCTTTCTACAAGATTAACCTAAGCCAGCGCTAAGTCGGTGTCGTGCCATCTTGATGGGCAAATCGTCAAATCAAAATGATGAATTCCTGTTATCTGCTTGGAATAGCGGTGTTCAGGACGACGGCAGCGGTTGGGAATCTAAACTCTCAACTATAGTAGATATTAGCGAAAACTCTATACCCCTCAACCTGGTAGAGGTTTGAATTGGAGCATTAAAAAGCGAGGGTCAGGACTCCTACAGTCCCTTTTCGTAGTCAAGCCTCAAAAGTAGCTATAGACGATAGTGGGATAGTCAGATATTTCGTATTCAAGCCGTTAATTAATTAAGGAAGCTATGGTATACAGGCTGCTGGAGCTCAGCACCAGGTTTCCAATTTCATGTCACCCTACACACGCCTTAAATTCAACATACAAAAACATTTCAAGTCCTGCGTCAGAAGCAAATGATGAGGCAAAACTAGAAACACATCAGGATCATACTCTAACAATAACAAGTAATCTTACCTATATAGAAGTATAGGCTGCACGAAAGGCAGGGCTGAACGTATGATCGTCGCAGAAGATTAAATCGCCTGCACGTTATTTCAGCTCGGATAGTTCCAAAGCGGAAAGATTGTGGTTTATTCTGTAAGGGGAGATTTTTCTACGGCAACAAACAGAAGAAAAAGTAATTAAATTATTTTCTCGGATAATTATAAAATTACTATGGATTCTAGGGAAAGTACCTATGTAATTATTTAGAATAACTGGTAAATTTGTCAGTCTTTTAATTAGAAAAAACACGGCAAACTAAGCTAGTAACTACAAGAAGAGTTCTAGATCATTTGAATGTGGAAAGCGTTAGCATTGGCAGGTAAATGCAGTATCTACAGAAATTCTCAATACATCTATTGAATTACACGAGTATAACACTTCTTCTAGACTAGGTTAGTAAGATATCTATTAATTCTACCGGTTTGGCGTTATGCGTTACTCTTTTCACAATCAAGAAACGAAAAGCAAATGTAATGTGGTCTGACTGCTGCTGTCGGAAAATTTTGGGACATGAGAACCGAACTTGAGCGCCATGAATAATTGGTTCCGTTTACAATCGCTTCCGCGATTGTCGCTCGTTACGTCACAACAGACCATGCAATTGGTAGCTAGTTATTGTACGAGTTTCAGATTAAGAAAAAATTCTTTGCACAGTCGGTGGACAGTTCAATAACAGTTCGGTTAGTCAAGTACGCAAGGTACTTTTTGATACGCAAAGTAAATTCGGTTTATATTCTTTTCTTTCTGATTCATCAAATTTAACAAAATAGTATGAAAGAGAAGGCACACGCATGCACCTGTTCAGCGCCGACAAATATGAACACTTCTTACATATGAATTGAACTCGTCACCTTCCAATGGCTGAATAAAACGGAACTTTTGAGGCTGTCACAAATTTAATGCATGGCTCAGATTTTCATGATATATTTCATTAACGCAAGCAACAGATTTGACTTTCACATAGCGCAATTAAGAAGCCGTTTGAATTGCCCGCCTTTCACTGTGTCCTCGAAAATATTAGTATTGTATTTTATTACATGGTAGGTACTTTCATCAAACAAAATTAGATAAATTAATTAATATTGGCAAGCTAATCCTCGATATCAATATGAGATCGAATTTTTCATTGGAATTCACTTTAATTTTGAGAAATATTTCAAATAAATTGACGAAATTACGAACAAGGAACGTCCATGTCTGACACCGCGTCTGCATGACAATTACACCAGGTATTGATAGTCTCTGCACAGAGTCAAGACGTGTAGTTCTCAGTGAGCCGAACTTCCCGCCAGATGAAACACAACCCAACCTGGTGACGGTGTAACAGACACTGACTTCTTGAGCAGAAATGTGTGTTCTGCACTGTGTGTAGATCTTATGAATAACTATGCAGTTCATAGTGGGTACAGGTCTCAGCACTGACAGTACTGTGTGCATGCTGGGAGCTACGAAAAGCACTGCATCTACACTGTACAGAACTCCAACTACGTATTATCTACAGAGCGGAGAACCGCAACGCGTCCAGGGAACTGGGCACTGCAGCGCTTGCAGGGAACTGCGCACAGTGCTGAGTGCTGTGTGTGGATTGTATACTGAACACTGAACTGAGGGCATGGAACGTTGCAAGGCACTATGTGAGGGAAAAATGCACTGTGTGCACGAAATTATGTACTGAACTTTCTGAAGAGAACTGAACACTACACTGTGTGTGCAAGGAACTGTGCAATGTTCGCAGGAAATTCTGCATATCATTCAATAAAAATTAATTTAATGCAATCTTTGACACATACGTAAGCCGCACACCATCTACTAATTAGCTCCACTCGAAAGATGTCCCTCGATATCAGCACGTATTAATCAATGATAACGCCAGCACTATCAGCGTCAAATTGGTTTTAAATTTGATCGTCTTTCTCATTGATTCTGATTCATTGTTAAATTAAATTTTAACACGTGCAATAGTGGTCTGGTTGAAAAATTAAGAGCAATCAAATATGAAATGAAATGCAATTAACCATTATAATGTTTTCTCTAGTTAGGCCAGTCTGGACACTAGAATTAACATAGTATGAGAACACGGCAATAAATATAATTAGATTAACAACTGAAAAGTACCGCGGTGTGCCACGCTAGCGAAGGGGTCGTATAAGGTTCAGAGGTGTATGTGAATATTAATTAACAAAATAAATCATGAGGTCTATTAACACGAGCTCATTTGATGTCTCACAGTACACTTGCTGTAACCGCGCATTACAGAAACGGGTATGCAACTACAATTATTCTAAATTTATTATTAATCATATTATACTGTTATACACAATAATTATTAATTATTTCAACCAAAGCAAAATGTCATAAAAACAGCGGCACTAATGAATCGTGACGAAGGCAAGCGGTCTAGAATCATAAAGATTCTCGAATTACTTCTATTACACTACTTAATTAATGCTGGAATTTACTACGCGAATCAGCATGCTGATAAAACAAAAAAAAAATGAAGGAAATTGAAGCAGGAAAAAACGCATATTTTGGCCTTGGCCTAGTCATATACTAAGCAATTAATAACGGAAAAATAGTAGGCAGCGGCTATATTACTGAAAATGACGGTTGCGAAATGTTTGAAATGCCAACGTTTAAAAAACTAACTTATTTTAGGATTTTTTTTTTATCTATTAAATGATGTTTCCCACTTCAGAGTTAACGGTACATTCATTTTTCCATCATAAATTGAATTATACGCTTAAACGTTTTGCACACACTCTTCAACACAAGTTATTTGTAGATACCTGCTGCATTTTATTTAACTATAAAGCAAGGATTAGACATCGATTTGGGTGAGCACTCGTTCCCACAAAAACATTCTGCACTCGATACAAGGAAAATTAGTTAGGATGATGATGAGTCAGAACGAGAAAACTAGTTTAGAAAACTCGTCTGTTTGTCCCAATATCACAAGCGGGATATTATCCAGTAAGCGTTTATTTTTACGCAAGCTTTCTTCATAAAAAAATTCGATTGAAGCCATTTAGAGCAACGTAATTTCATGGTTTAGGAAATTTTGATGTATTGGTTTCCTTCATGGAAAATAGACGATGTTTCTTACGTTATCGCCAAATGAACCAGTTTATATATGCTCTACATTAAAATATTTACTCAAATTTTGATACACTTCGTTGCCCTAGCTTTGTCTTCCGTGCTTCGTGCTGCAACTTATTTTCAATATCGCTTGTCCACCAACTTGTGGCTGGCTTCAAAGGTTGCCGATTCTGTTAAAATCGCACAAACAAAATAATTCAGAATGGCCACGTTACTGAAGGCCTTAGTTCCAGCAAGTGCAAATCAGAACAAACTGACGAGTTATCGAAGGTGTGATGTTAGATATACTATAATGTGTAATGAGCAGAGGTTCAGACGAACAGATGTCGAGGACAGATGTGGCCCACAGCTGTCCTGGCACGAGATAGGGAATACGGTCAGAGAGATACCTATAGTAATTCAGGTCCCCATATTCATTTTAAAAAGATCATTGGGATAATAAATTCAGGCGGAGTGAAGTCTCTTAAATAAGATTGTAATTCAGGTCTCCGTATTCATTTTAAAAAGATTATTGGGATAATAAATTCAGGCGGAGTGAAGTCTCTTAAATAAGATTGTAATTCAGGTCCCCATATTCATTTTAAATAGATCATTGGGATAATAAATTCAGGCGGAGTAAAGTCTCTTAAATAAGATCTGTGGATGAAAAATAAATTATTAATCAGGCATAGAATATTTGGACTATAACATTATATAGAACATCAAGTTTTATGTTTTCCACCTATTGCAGTTATTACTGTAAACAGTTAACCGACTGATTTATCAATTATGTCTCTTGCATTCTCTAACTGGAAACGATGAAAATTCTACAGGGATGCTTGTTTTCCAACGTAACTCATTATAACAACTCAATTTGTTTCGATTTATCACTACCGTTCCCTCATATGTCACCGATAATTTTTCGTAATTATTACTACCGTAAAATATCATCGAGTTTGCCAACTTCAATGACGCGAAACCTGCTAATTTTACTGTAGTTTAAACCTACTGATTTCAACGACAGTAAAGCTATATAAGTTGTACGACGCAGCAGAAAAAAACTATGTAAATGTTTAATGCTAGACTAACTTTAAGATAAACTATCACGTCTACGCAAGTTTGCACGAAAATTAATAAAGTTTCTCAAACTGTAATACAATTCACAAACTGCATGGCATGGCGTTAGGGGTTCAGGTTCGAAGCTACGACATGAATATCAATAACATTCAAATTTGCCGTAATATCAAACGCGCACGAGTTTCTGTATATTCCATTCGTGTGCTCGAACATAAGTCACCAGCTCCTGGAGCTTTTTGGAGAAATTATCTGATCTCAAACGCACAAGTTCTCTCAACCACATCAGGCGGGCGAGCGTTGGCGTTTTTTAGAATGTATCGTATTTAAAGTTTACACACAACGTATACATTTTTAGTGGTGTGAACAAGTACCTGGTATTTTGATTTAAAATAACTTAGAAATCTAGAAAGCGTTCAATGCAAAGCAGAAGATTGCGTGCAATAAAAGTGCGGTACAAAAAGTATAGGTACAGTTATTCAAATTGAAGAAAAACGAAATGCCACACAAGGCATTCAAATTTGTAACCTGCAACCTGAACCTCTCTGTTCAACGTCAGAATTCTAGGTTCGCTACAAGGCCACCCGTAGCACACAGCCAATTAAGAGAGAAAACTTGCACGGTTGGTTAGATTTCTGTCGCGCTCAAGACCAGGGAATATTATAAATAACTTTAATGTGACGCTTACGGTAGTTCTTCGTACCCGTAAATCCCACAGCATAGTAAAATAATAAAACATAGTTGTGTAAATAGATCGATTTTACACGACTATGGTTAGGTAAGAGACCATTAAATTTAGTTGGACATGGTAAGCGTCCACCAGCACCTCTAGTGTCCACCATCTTGACTGCAAATTTACGTATCATATAAGATGAACATTCCCTTTTATTCAATACTAATAAAGCTTCTTTGAAATTCAAATCTAGATTCGGGGATTAGAGTATTTCAATTCGACAAAGACACGGCATGCGGGCAAAATAGACTGTTGAAGAAAATCTTCTCCGCATCAGCTTCACATGAATTTTTAATAATCAATTCGTTAGCGTTTGTAAGTGATAGTCATGTCATTGGTGAGAAACTTTTTTTTTTCATGTTAAAAATACTTCTGTTTTCTTTTAATTACACGGGAGATTGATGTGCGTGTAAATCTTGCACAAAAATTGGGCTTTCCGTTTTAAAGTCTTTCAACCGAAGTGTAAATTTTCCAAAAAATATTAATCAATATTTTGAGAACGGTTGTCAAATTAATATTACTGAATTATTAGAACAGACAATTTCGAAATAATCATTCATAATTATTGCTACAAATTGCATTCTTTTCATGGAAATCCTTGCCGGGTGTCAAGGTGCTTCAGGGTCATAAAATGAGGGTCACGCTTACGTTGTAGCATCGGTGTAGACATTAACAGGTTCAGTGTGTAGGGGACTTTCAAAATTGTCGAGAAGAAACGTGATGAGAAGTCCCAAAAATACTGACCCGCATCAACCGGTATTAGATTCGATCTTTGCCGCAGAATAAATTAGCTCAATAAGCCTTTAACGAGGAGTCTAGTCGCCAAGCTCGACCTTGAGCACAGTGGCAGACGATGGAGCCGTCTGGACAACTTGTTTAAATTACGCCATACATTTTTCTATATACAATGATAAAATACTCCACGTCATTATTTTCAGCATGAAAATCAGAAATAAGTAAGTGATGTTGGACGAGTTCTTATAAACAAATTTGAAACAATTGCTTCGATAAGAAAATATATCGTACGTCTGGGTTTACAGAGCTTACAGCTGATCAAGTCATTTCCCTAGTTTACACATTGATTGGAGAACTGTCTAAGAGTGCACCAGCTCGTGATATTTCGATTGAAATAACATATAACTACCAGTATGCATACCTTATTTCCAGAAGACATGGTGGAGAGCTTTAATTGTAGAGAAACAAGCACAACACACCACACCAACACTGCACACCAGCACACTGTTGTCGTTGGCGCGGCCGCGCGGGAGCCGGGATGTGAATTTCGATCGTTGCCAGGAACTGGCAGCGTGTGTGAGGCTCAAGCTGTCGTACGCTAATAATAATACGAGCTCATGTATCAGCTGGATCCTAAAGAATTAATTACGATTGCATTTACTTTATTTGAATCAGCTGGGTTGTACGTTTTCCATGTAAGCTATCTAGATCCTTGCACAAAAATTTAATTCTTGCTGGAATATATGATCTCAGTCCTCCTATGTAGATTTTCATTCACAAACATGAAACCTCGAATGACGCTCGCTATATAGCAATGCGGCCTCGAAAGACGTTCGATATACATACAGCAATGCGGCCAGCCCAGCTGCAATTTTATAAACCAAGGACTTTGTATAAGCAATAAAGAATGTAGAATTAACATTCTAGTGTTGTTCGTATTTTTAACAGGATTTAATTCTCCATGAAATGTTTTCGAACAAACGAGTGTCATTCAATATTATTAGGAAGAGAATAGGACCTGGAACTATTTCAGTGGAAGAGTTCAAGGCGAAAATTCTTTTACTTCACTCTTAGAATGATTCATTTATCTCCTCTTCCATCAACACAAGTCCAGGATACAAGTGTGTGTCCTCCATGACACACAAACAGGCGTGATAAACACTCTCGCTACGCTAGAAGTAGAAGTTAGACAAAGCCCTGTTACTTGCAAAATTCTGATGTCACACAAAACCTTTTTGAATAAATAAATATGGTTATACCAAAGAAATTTTAAACTTCACATTTTATATCAGGGTTATATTGGCTGAATAGAAATAACACAGAAATTTTCCATGTATCAATATACTCTCTGAAGGAAATGAAGAAACATTAATAGCATTTTTATCACAAAGCCCTGCGGGTTGTTATTTTAGATTTATCATGCTATACTGAGGCATGCTGATAGTAGTGAAAGGTATGAATAATGCTCATGATATCGATAAGATTCAACTTTAATTTGATCTGAAGGCCCAAGTTATAGTTGAGATATGTAAAATTTTACTGCTTCATTTTGCACATTAACAATTTACTAACCCTGGTTTGTTGGATACCTTGTATCAATAATGTTGGAAAATATTTGGAGTTTTCAACAAAGTTTTCAAAGTAGAACACATCATCTCTTGAATCATGCCTACTTGATGGGGCGGGCAGTAATCATCTAAACTAGACCTGGCGATAGTAACTAAGGAAGGCGAGGCGATCCCGCTGAGAAAACAGTTGACTTCCCTCATAAGACTTTTGATTTCTTCTTCAGTAGATTCGTGGTGAGGCAAAACCTGCTTAGGACTGTCCCATGTGCACCCAGCATCGTGAACCAATGTCCAGTCAAGTTCAGTCAAGTCTTCTTTCTCCAGCAGGTCTACGATGAGAAGACGTAATTGTTCTCGATTGTTAGAGTTGGTTATTGACTCCATCATAGACGGAAGTCTTTCCATTATAATATCCGGATTCTTTATATCTTGGAGAGCTTTGAAGAGTTGTGACAATGGCTCCATTTGCAGCTTCCGTCTAGCCTGACTATCATTTGGCGTCTCACCTTCTTTCAACTTGAATTGATAAATACTTTTTAGCCTCTGGTACAGATCAACACTCTTGTAGGTGCTCAGGAACGGGTTCAAAGTTGAAAAGAAGTCGAGATCTATGTCAAGAATAAAACGATCATTGTGTTCCCTAATGATTTTTTCTGCTAAATCTACAGTTGATGCGACGCCTGAATCATCGTCGTTGTTCGGTCGAGTCGTTCCTGCAGACGACTCAATGTCTGCCAGCAGTGCATTCTTCATGGTGTCGCCGAGTGTTGCCACGTGCAACGTCACGTTTCGGATTTCTTCTAGGTCCTCTTCATCACAGTATAACATCTCACTAATGAAATATAGTTCAGGGCATGAGACCTTCACATGACCAGATGATGACTCGAGTCCAATTTTGAAATGATAAACGCCATTTGGAATCTGATTCGACCATGGAGGCTTGATCCACAGGATGGTGTCAACGTGGCCAGCGAACACTGCAGGCATTATCCAGTTTTCTATGCTCAGACGATCGAATAAAACGTTTTTATCATAAACTTGAGATTTCACTAAGTTTTCAGGAAGTAGTAAGTCCGGATGTGAATCGAAATGAATAAGAAAGTTATTCGAGAACGGGATGCGTTTCTTGGCGATGGCGGCATAGATGTGGCATAGTGCATCATTGTGGTCTTCAACGATGTGCACAGCGACCGCAGTCGTGTTACGTTCCGTCATCACCTGCAGGCCAAGCAACAATAATTAACATACTATATTTATTATAATTGGCATAAAAAACTTTTACATCGATAGCAATTTTGTGTGTTGTTTAAAAATGAACTTGGAGTTTGTGTTTTGGAAACCTGACACCGTTAATACGAGTACATGGCCACATAGGGCTGTTCGACGCGTAAAATTCTTATATTATCGTCCGTAAAATTAGATGCTGGGCCTGAAATTTTATTTTTTGTGGGACGAGAATGGCTGAGTAAAACGTGAAGAGGGAGTGTCAGATCAAAATTAAAATGCAAATTTGTAGCTTCAAATTTACATTTGAAATTTCAAAATGGGACTCAATAGCTGAATAGGGAGTTCGATGCTTGAATGTGGAATTGAGCTGGTTATTTTTTTAATAAAAATAATTGGTTTTAGCACCATTTCTGGCATTGGAGGTGACGGGATTCAGGATGACAGGATTATGAATGTCGGGATTATGCAATACTCGAAAAGACGAGGTTTGAGATGTCGGAATTCTTTTCGGAAGACATCTTACAACACTAATCTCAAACAAAGGTCGGGAAGCTCCAAACATCAATTGTACTAAGGTCGAATAAACCTCGGACTGTGTTCAGTTTATATATTTGATTAGGCAAATATATAGGGATAATGAATTTTTTGCCGAAGGTCTGGCAAATCACGGGCAACGACGTTTATATACGACATTAATATAAAACGATTTTGTTTCACTGACTGAGTAAAGCATCAGAGTGTACCCGATACATAGCCTAAAGGCCCTTTTCCACTATAATGAGACTGCGCGACTGACACGTCGCTTGCATGCGGCAGTGTCGCTATGCTGTCACTTCCGTTAGTAGGTTGTGTACGTGTTGGGCTGACGCTCCAATATAGACGCACTATTGCCTGCCTCTTTGCTTTCTGTTTGACCATGTCACACGACGGAGAGTGGAGCAGAGATGCGACTGAAAGGCTTATTGATTTATATAGAGAGACATCTTGCCTATGGCAAGTAAAAGGTTTAGTTTACAATGACAAAATCTTAAGAAATCAAGAATTAGACAAAATAAGTAAAGAAATGAAGAAATCAGATCCATCCATGAAGATCGAAAAAAAACTTTAAAAAAAAATCACACTCTGCGATCTCAATTTAGAACAGAGATGAAAAAAAGTAAGATAACCTGAAATATGGAGCAGTAATACATTTACACCGCGGTTGTGATGTTTCAATCTTCTATCATTTCTCACAGATAGAGATGAGAAACGACCATCCCTTTCATCTCTGGATGAAATGGAAAGCTCGGCAAGTGGTTTTCATAAATTTATTATGAATTAGAAATAAGCTCTTATTTTAATTCGATTCGCAATACAAAAACATTGATTCAAATTAAAATTATACTTCCTAATTTCTTTTTAACAGATTTGATGTTTATTCGCTCGTCCGTCAATTAAAAAATCGTAATTATCTTATTATACTTTTAGTGTATGTATACTCAGTAATGAGTAAATAAACACAGTAATGAATAGTGGTAGCATTTGTGATATACGCTATGATACCTATCTAAATCCAAAGACCAAAGACCAGAAATCGTTAAACATTGTGACGTATTTATTGGAATTACTTTTTCGCGATACATTAAAGTTATAAAAATATAATATTGTTCTTTAATCCCCTAGGCGAATGCATGTTATAATACAGATAACCTATGTTAATGAGAATTTTGAAACCATTCTTGCGTTTCATAAATGTTATTAGGTTAATGGATAGCCAAAATCTTTTCTATTTCATTTTTATTATTAGGTTCTATCAACTTAGTAGAGGCATATATGGATTATTCAGGCCTGAGCCCTGCCATTCGGCGCTGCCAGGGAACTTGTCCTTCGTTATTGAAATACTTGCAGAAAGCTTCGCGAACTGCCCTCGCTTCTTCCGAAATTCGACCACCACGTCGTCGTTCAAGCTCCAGCAACTGCGCCGCGTCTTGCCGCCAAGACCCTTGCACTATCTCGCCTCTGTTGATATCTTCGATGTCCATGCTGCCTTGCGGCGTGTGTTCACTTGAGTACTCACGTCTTAGCAGGTTGTGTAGCACAATTGTTGCTAGTACTACGTGCTCTGCCTTGTCAGGGGTCAAGGCAATTGACGTCTGCAAAACACGGAATTTATTGTTCATTATTCCAAATGTATTTTCAACTATTCGCCTTGCTCGAGACAGACGGTACGAGAATATTCTTTGTTCCTCGTTTTGATTTCTGATTGGGTATGGCTTGAGGAGGTAGGGCTTCAGCGGGAAAGCGTCGTCTGCGACAAAGACGTATGGTGCGATCGTAGCGCTCTTTGGAAGAACTTCATTTGTTGGTAATTGAATTGAGCCATTAGCTAGATTTTTACTCAACGAGCACTCAGACCACGAGCCTCCGTCGCACACCCTGCCATTGGTTCCAACATCTGCATATATTATTTCATAATTGGCATCTGCCACTCCCATTAGCACGATACTGTGCGTTTGTTTATAATTAAAATAGTAACTTCCGCTGTTTAGAGGAGGCTTTATCTGGACGTGTTTCCCGTCGATGGCTCCGACGCAGTTGGGAAAATTCCATTTTTCCTCAAATTCAACAGCAATTGCAGTCCATTCTGCTGGCGTGCGGGGTGTCTGTGGGTAGAAAATATAAATAATTGAACTTTGTTTAATTGACTTTCATTATAGTATTTTTGCAGCCCTACAACTGAGATTTTAACGAAGCGACTCGTTAGGCCACGCCTTTATATATATTTATACATATTATTAGGTCTATACATACCTCTATACAAACCCTGCCGATTTTTATTTTGGTATTCATGCATAATGTGTATTGCAAAACATATTTATAGGAAGGGTTTACTCATTTATTTATCTATCTTGTTAAGTATTCAATGTGGAGAATCATTTCAAATTTTGCCTTACTATATACACTAAAAAATATACCTACCATAATACAAGTGATTAAAAATGAATAAATTATGAACTTAAGCAACAAAGTAAATGAATGAGTACATCCTGTCTATAAATATGTTGAAATATTTATAGCTATTCGAACTGAGGCAGCTGCCTTGCTTTCGAGACACTCGAAATACGTCCAAGTTATACAGGTCTCAGTGTTGCTGAATTACCTCCGTGAATTAATAAAATATTAGTATTTACTATTTAATCGATTACTTTCTTATTTTTGTTTCAGGCCAGCACTCCCACTACTTCATATGCGAACGAAACTTCACTAATGTTCTCTGATACATTGGAAGTTCCAAGTGATGACTCAACATTTCTGCGAGTGCATTTGCCAGACCTGGAACATGTCGTAGGAAACACTTCTGCCCCAACAGGGCAGTTCGATTCATTAGGAACAGCAGGACAAGCTATAATAACGCCAGCAGTATAACCCAAACGACTGACGAGAAGCCCTACACCAACAAGTGACTCATCCATGTTTCAGCCAAATGCACAAAGTCTGTTGCGTTCAGCCGAAGGCCCTCTTTAATTAATTAAATAAAGTTCAGAAACGAAAGCGCGTGGAAGATAATGAAGCTGAAATACTGTAAATGGTTGCAACATCACTCAAAGAAGATGAGGAAGATGAATTTTCGATCTGGGGCAGAGCAATGGCCAACGAATTAGCAAAAGCTAATAGAGACCAATGCATAATAGCAAAGAAACTACAGCGAAACTATTTGCTATGCTTGCTTAAATGTGCTTCAACCTAATACAGGATTAAACGATCTAGAAACATCCTAATCAACGAGCAAAACAAATTCCCTACATCAAGTCATATACTTGTCAGTTTGTAGTTATTTACGTAGTAGGTATATGACCGATATAGTTTCCACAAGTTCATTGGAGCATTTTCACATATAATTAATTATGCTTGGCTTGTTTCAAGTGCGTAGCATTGGCATAACAATGCATTTGCAATAGAATGGTCTTCGACGTATGTTTATGAATGAAATTGTCTCTATTTGTTATTGGATGCAATCTCGATATAAACTTTTTGTTTACATTGTTCTCTACATGTTTGGGTAAAAATGATGCCAGTTTTATTAGGTAGTTCTTAGTGGAAAAAGTACTTTTCTTGAAAGTTCTAGTTCTCTACGGTGATATATATATTTCATGTATAAACATTCATATATATTTGAAAAGGAATTACACAATTAATTGTCATTTATTGCAATAAAAATGTTAGAATCATTAAATAATTATTTCCCCCTATTATCGTGCGAAAAGTAAAGTCCTACAGAAAGTTATCAGATATGAAGAACACATAGCTAGCTATTCCATTTGTTACTCACCTTCAAGTACTCATCCTTGAGCACGCTGTAAATTGCCTTGCAGGTATCTGGGATTATACGACAGAGTGATGTTTTTGAAATTCTCGTATGGAACTCCAGTTTGGAATATGAAGCACCTGTAGCCAAATAAATTAAAGTTGCTTCAAGTCTTTCGCCAGCAGAAATACTCCTACGAAGGTGAGTATCTTCGCGAGAAATCAATGGTGTTACTTTATCAAGGATGTAATAAAAAATATTCGTAGGCATTCGTAAGTAACTGAAGAAATCGCTCTCTCTCGATGATAACTCTTGAAACAGTTGTCCGTAACTTGCTCTTGAAGACCTTTTCAACAGCCATTCTTTGCACCAAATCGTTCTTTTTTTCCTCCTGCGCCTTTGTCTGCGCATAGTGACAACTACTAGTAAAGCAAGAGCAGCAGTACGATCCATCTTCAACGGCCAACGAGTAACTGAATTCTGAAATGTAGCGCGAGGCAGAGCGGTAGCCCAGACGGAACTCAGTCTCAATCACAGCGCATGCGCAGATGCACGTATCACTACCGGTAGTGGAAACGCGCACGCCAGTTTTGAGGCCCAGCCATGTGGCTGATTGGTTTCAGGCTAGTCTCAATCCTTCTGAATCACAGTCCCGTAGTGGTAAATGGGCTTAAGAATTTTAGCGCAAGTGATAAGTAAAATGTAGTTTCAAACCGAACTTCATCCGGACCACAACTGTAGCCGTGTTATAAAATGACGAGAACTTGATTGTGATATACAGGTAACGACAGCGTTACCTAATCTTTCAAGGGGGGAAAAAATTAGTAAATATCACTTAGCTATAAAGAATGCGGAATCTTTTCAGATGCGATTCTCAGTGATATCTACATAACTACATTAGCATATTAATTTAAAAGTTTTCAAGTGTTGGGAGTAGTGTAACAACTCTCAAAATCGATGGAACTTGGTAGTTGGTACACGTTTTCATAGTAACGGTGATGTTCAGCACGTCTCGGACAAATTTACGATTTTGTTTAATAATAATCAATCATGAAATAACTTTCAACCGCATAAGATGAGAGATCTTGATCAATGTGAAACATATAAAAATACGTTTATAAATTAATGGGTTTCCTTTTGCCATTTGCCGATTTTAAACTCATAGGGGATCGGCGGCTCTTTTCAAATCGGATAATACTAAATGTGTATTGTAGTACTAAATGTGTAGGTATTCACTTTATATCTAAAGTGAATAAATTATAGGAGCAAATCTCTTCAATTTCTTCTTACGCACATTCAGAGATCAAATCAGATCATGCAAATTTACTTTTATACGAACCTGACAATACCGCGTAACTAATTTGACTTAAATAGTTAAAATAATTTTCGGATAGAGGCGGCACGAACAGGAAAGTCGAAGGCTCTCTGAAGAAAAGTAGTCCAATAATAAGCTCAGTAAACAACAAAATACTCAAAATAGATAAAAAGTACTATGATCACACACAGAAATGAATATAATTTCTCATAAACACTAACAACAATTTTACTCACGTTTTTTTTCTGGCAAAAGTAATAAACGTAGATGAAGTCTGTTCGTTGTGCACTCGCGTCGACGGTTAGCCCAAGAATGAAGGATTAAATAATACGGAGTTAAACCAATTTCATCATTGAGCATGGACGACATAAAATGAAATCTCTTATCATACGGACAATTATAAAATTGGGTAAATTTCATTGGTATTCCTATGCTGATTAATTCCATTTTACATTTTTTGTGGTGCTAGAGAATATTGGAACATTAAGAGTAAAGCAAAACACGAGACTGCCAGCTGAGCTGTCGAGGAATGGGTGGTCATGTCGCCTGAGCTGCCTTGTGAGCAACGTATTTGCTTCTGGTCTTGTATAAAGCTCAACCAGTAGTACTTCTTCAACAAATTAGATCATAATGAGTGAATCTAGAAATAACGATGAAGATTTCAATGAATGGTCCCCTTGGGAACAACAAACGTTGCTTGAGATCCAGCGAGGAGATGTTGAGGCTGTGTTTGTAACTAACTCGGAAGCAACTCTTCAAAAGTTATACGCCTCTTTTCAGGGAGCTGCTCAATGTTTAGCCGTTTTATATAAAGGTAAGGTTATCAAAGGTTGTATATAAATAAAATATAGGCCTACGGGAACAGTGGATAGAGAAAACTCTTATTGCACTTGCTGACTGCTGCAAATGTCATTTTTGGAATAAATGATAAAAAAATAGATCTTAATTTTTTCACAGCCTATCATTCATATAAAATATTGTTTGCTAACTTTTGAAAACATTCTGAAAGTTTATGCCTATATTCATTACTATTTACTAGAAATTAAATTGTTCAAACATTCTATCTAGTATCAGAGTATCTACTAGCCTATCTAAGTATCTATAGTTCTAGGTATAGGCCTATACCTACTAATTTTTAAATTTGAAAATGGTAAAAATCTTCACACAATGTAAGTTTGTAACCATTAATGGTTAAGAAGTAGGGTAAATGCGGTATATTCCGACATTGTGGGTAATTCTGACACTTCTCAACTTTTTTCCTTTATATTAAGCTTTTTCTTAGTTCCATGCATTTGTTGATGGTTGAAATAGTGATGACTGTGATGTCATACTTTTGCGTGCCATAGGCTACTCTTGCCAAAACACTAGGTCTGGGCCGTCTGGCAGGAAATTGTTGAGATCCAAAGAGAGACAATGTGCATCACCCAGCGAGAACATTGAAAAATGTGTCAAAGTTGATAGTTGACCTTGCTCTACCTGTCTACCAAATAGTGATAAACTGTTTGCATAGAAAGAATAGGTATTATGGTTTGAGACTCTTAAATACGTCTGTGAATTTATTAGGAATCCTTTAAGTATACTTGTATTTGCTGATTTCAAGTGGTAAAAAAATGAATAGATGATTAAGTTAAGAGATGGTTTTAGACACATGAAAACTAATTCCGACACAGCTTGGAATTAGACACACACAGCTCGTTCCAAGCTGTGTGCAAAAATTAAAATTTTCTTAATTAAAAGCTATACCTATAGCTCTTGATTAAAAGCCTAATTAAGTAGTGTTCAATATTCAATAGTGTTCTAATTCCAAGCTGTGTTGTATTCCAATACAGCTCACACAGCAATAAGAATTCGAACACAAGAGTGTTGGCATTATGAATTAGTAGAGTTTGAAGTGCGGCCAAAATTAGTCTCACAAAATGCCAAATTTAGTCACACACAGTGTCAGAATATATGGTTTTGGTAGGTTTGCATTCTAAAGGCTTTTAAATAAATATGGCAACATTTTGTGACGTTTCATTGTTGCTGGCGCGTAGTGCGGTGTTTTGAGAGTGACGTAAAGCAAACAGAACTTGAGTTGCGTGTACGGTGTATTTTTTATAGCCATTCATTTTTTGCCATGTCCTTAAAGTGTCGGAATATACCGCGTTTACCCTAGCCTAAACCTAGTAGGTACTGCCATTTGGGAAAATCAGGTGGAAGATTTGCATGAATAAGCCAAAAAAGGTCTGTGATTGCAGTCAGTTTCAATTATTTTTCTTAGGCCCTTGCCTAGCCTAACTTTTTATATAAAGTATAAGAAAAACAGTGCATTTTTGCCTTTGCTTTTTGAAAATAGCCTGTTACATGATTGTTTACTACCAGCCATTTTTAAGAAATTGCAGAACAAAACTATCATTATATGAGAAATATTGCTGTTGAAAATGGCCATTTTATTAGTTGCTGGTGAAAATATGGAATTTAAATTTTCTTCCTGGAATAAAAACTTAGGCATGGGCCATAAATAGATAAAATGTAACATTAAATAAGTTAGGGTAAACACACCATATTCCGACACTGTGGGTAATTCTGACACTTACCAACTTTTTCCTTTATATTAAGCTTTGTCATAATTCCATGCATGCGTAGATGGTTGAAATAGTGACGTCATACTATTGTGCGCAATATTTCCGCAAAACACTAGGTCTGGCGGGAAAATGTTAAGATCCGCAGAGTGAAAGTTACATCACCCAGTGTGAGTGAGAACATCAAAAAATGTGTGAAAGTGCTCTACCAAATAGTGATAATCTGTTTGTGTAATAAGAATATTATGGTTTGAGACTTTTAAATAAGTCTGTGAATATATTAGAAATCCTTTAAGTATACTTGTATTTACTGATTTTAAGTGGTAAATAAATTAATAGATGATTAATTTAAGAGACAGTTTTAGACATATAAAAACTAATTCTGACACAGCTCGGAATTAGACACACGCATCTCGTTCTGAGCTGTGTCGTATTCTGACATAGCTCACAAGCTCACACAGGGTGTTGGAATTCCAACACAGGTGGCAGAATTATGAATTACAATTTTGAAGCGCTGTCAGAATTAGTTTCACAATATGCTGCATTTAGTCACACATGTGTCAGAATTCAGCGATTTTGTAGATTTGAATTCTAAAGGCTTTTAAATAAATATAGCAACAGTTTGTGACGCATCATCATTGCTGGCGCGTAGTGTGGTGTTTTGAGAGTGACGTAAATGAATCAGAACTTGAGTTGCACATACAGTGATCTATTTATAGCCATTTATTTCTTGCTACGTCCTTAAGGTGTCGGAATATGGTGCGTTTACCCTATTATGCCTGTACACCAATTTAAATAAAGGGCCATGCTGCCAAAGTTTCTTTGAACCATGGATAAAAATTATTTTGCTGTTATTTTAAAAATAAAAGGGTAAAAATAGGCTATTTTTTTATTTTTTACTGGAAAAAAAATGGAAGAAGGCAATTCATAGTGCCTAGTGGCAAAGGAGAACTTTTTTTTTGCCCTTCCTCGAGTTCATTCTTGAGTCCTATAAGTAAACTAGCAAGTATGTGTGTCAGGCAGATTTATGATTAAAGCGAAAAGCACACAACACACGAATTTTGGAAATTTGATGGTGAACGTACAGCCCGACCCACGTTTTTTGGGGCGAGCCATAATTTATTTTCTACTTTTTAGTCCGCAAGAAAAATGTGTTTTTTTAAAAAGTTTCTTTTTAAGTATTTTATTTTCTCTTTTTTAGTCTGTTGCTACACATGAAAAATGTTGTTGCGGGCTAATTTACTTAACTTGACGTACATATAGATGACACGCAGCGTCAGCATCTGCTCGTCTATAATGTCAGCACCTGCATGTCATACTGTACCATAAAATGGAGTAACTTAGACCACTTTTTTATAAATGATGCCATTTTTTTACTAGCTAAATGAAACTTGAATTGAAATCTGAAAAATACAGGTCTATACTCTAGCTTCACTCACCATAAATTGCTGGCTCCTGCCTCTCATAGTTTTTATGTAATTTCAAAAAAAGTGATGGTCTTTGTTACCCCAGCTCTTGGGGTATCTTAGACCGGGTGGTAAAATCAATTATATTTTTTGGTAAAATAACTCCAAATAAATCCAGGTTTTGGTGCATTGTAGTAGAACTCTTCTAGTTACATATGCAAATGACAAACTTGAGGAAAGTGTCATAGTTTGCAAATGGATATATATATATATGTACTTTGCTCAATTAAGCTAATTTAGGTCTCTAAATGCTAGTTTTTATGATTGTATCTGAAATTGTTAGGCAAAAATAGCCTGCATGCTGAATTTCAGATCTCTAGAGCAATCAGAAGTGGGCTAATTTATGTTGTCAATGTTAACAACAAACAAACACGAAGCTGAGTAAAGAATAAATAAAATACTTAAAAAAACTTTAAAAAAAACACGTTTTTCTTGCGCACTAAAAAGTAGAAAATAAATTATGGTTCGCCCCAAAAAACGTGTGTCTGGCAGATTTATGATTAAAGCGAAAAGCACACAACACTTGAATTTTGGAAATTTGATGGTGAACGTACAGCCCGACCCACGTTTTTTTGGGGCGAACCATAATTTATTTTCTACTTTTTAGTGCACAAGAAAAACATGGTTTTTTTAAAAAGTTTTTTTTAAGTATTTTATTTTCTACTTTTTAGTCCACAAGAAAAACGTGGTTTTTTAAAAAGTTTTTTCAAGTATTTTATTTTCTACTTTTTAGTCCACAAGAAAAACGATTAAAACTTGATTAAGTATGACTTGACGTACGTACCGGTATTGATGATACGCAGCGTCAGCGCCTGCTTGTCTATAACGTGAGCGCCCGCATGTCATACTATATATACAGTATATACTTTACTCAATTAAACTAATTTTGGTCTCTAATTACTAGTTTTTATGATTGTATCTGAAATTGTTAGGCGAAAATAGCCTGCATGCCGAATTTCAGATCTCTAGAACAATCAGAAGTGGGATAATTTTCGTTGTCAATGTTAACAACAAACAAACAAACAAACAAACGCGAAGCTAAGCTAAGAAAAACGTGTTAAATACTTGAAAAAACTTTTTAAAAAAACACGTTTTTCTTGTGGACTAAAAAGTAGAAAATAAATTATGGTTCGCCCAAAAAAACGTGTGTCTGGCAGATTTATGATTAAAGCGAAAAGCACACAACACTTAAATTTTGGAAATTTGATGGTGAACGTACAGCCCGACCCACGTTTTTTTTGGGGCGAACCATAATTTATTTTCTAATTTTTATTCCACAAGAAAAACGTGTTTTTTTAAAAAGTTTTTTTAAGTATTTTATTTCTACTTTTTAGTCCACAAGAAAAACGATTAAGACTTGAGTAAGTATGACTTGACGTACGTATCGATGATGCGCAACGTCAGTGCCTGCTTGTCTATAACGTGAGCGCCCGCACGTCATGCTATATATATACTTTACTCAATTAAACTAATTTCGGTCTTTAATTACTAGTTTTTATGATTGTATCTGAAATTGTTAGGCGAAAATAGCCTGCATGCCGAATTTCAGATCTCTAGAACAATCAGAAGCGGGCTAATTTTTGTTGTCAATGTTAACAACAAACAAATAAACAAACAAACGCGAAGCTAAGCTAAGAAAAACGTGTTAAAAACGTGTTAAAATAGGTTATTTTTTTATTTTTTACTGGAAAAAAAATGGGAGAAGGCAATTCTTAGTGCCTAGTGGCAAAGGAGAACTTTTTTTTTTTGCCCTTCCTTGAGTTCATTCTTGAGTCTTATAAGTAAACTAGCAAGTATGTTGGTTACTAGCCCAACTGGGAAAAACAGGATATCAGACGAACTAGTACCTTAAAATGGGGTAACTTTGATCACTTTTTTTCAAAATGATGACATTTTTTTACTAGATAAGTTAAACTTAAATTGAAACGTGCAAAATACAGGTCTATACTCTAGCTTCACTCACCATAAATTGCTGGCTCCTGCCTCTCATAGTTTTGATGTAATTTCAAAAAAAGCGATGTGTTTTGTTACCCCCACTTTGGGGTTTCTTTGACTGGGTGGTAAAATCAATTTTATTTTTTGGTAAAATAACTCCAGGTTTTAGTGCATTGTAGTAGAACTCTTCTAGTTACATATGCAAATGACAAATTTTAGGAAAGTGTCATAGTTTGCAAATTGGGGGTGCCGCCCCCCAATGGGCAAAATGTGACCACCTAATGGCAGCCGTGATGGGGCAACATTGACTGGCTTGGAAATTAAGTTAAAATTACCATATATAAGACTGTAGAGTCTGAAACATGAAGAAAAACATTAATCGGTGTATCAAACATAAAATATGTTATATAGGTACATATGGTAATTTTAACTTAATTTCCAAGCCGGTCAATGTTACCCTGTAACGGCTGCCATTAGATGGTCAGAGTTCCCCATTGGGGGGACAGTGCCCCCCATTTGCAAACTATGACACTTTCCTAAAATTTGTCATTTGCATATGTAACTAGAATAGTTCTACTACAATGCATCAAAACCTGGAGTTATTTTACCGAAAAATAAAAAAATTGGAGAGGTACTCTGACAGGCTTTAAATAATAGCTCTTTTTTGTGGGTCACATTTTTAATTTTTTACCTATTAGATTTCTATTTTGCTCTTCGTTCACGAGTTACCTATACAGATATAGGAGGAACGACCAGCTTTTCTACCGGCCGGTTTAACCAAGAGCCGTATAACTGGCAAACAAAGGCAAAATGAAAAAAATTGTAATGAGGTAAACCTCACCGTTGCTGAGGTTGAGTATTTAAATAGTAAGTTTCATTCAAATCTCTTCAGCAGTTAGGAAATTTCTTGATTACTGCGAATTTAAACGCGTATATCTGTTTAAATCACGAATGAAGATGAAAAAAAAAAACTTGCAAACGAAGGCACAATTGAAAAAATTTTCACAAGCTAAACATGACCATTCGGAAGTTAGGACTGAAAATTCAAAATTTTGTTTGAGTCTGTTCAGGAGTTTAGAAGAAATAACTTGATCACTGTGAATTTTGTCACGTATTGCCATATAAATATGGCAAAAACAAATGATGGCAAGATTTAAACAATTTTCAAGAGCTAAACATTATTGTTAGGTCCTAATGAATATGTGTACTAAGATTAATCAACTTAAGTTCATTAGTGTGAGAGATATTCCTTGATCATTGAATTTGGAAACAGGCCGTGAGACTGGCCACAATGTCCTAGATGTAAACTCAGGAGAGGTTAATAAAATATAACTCAGTACTCACTGCAGTGAGTGACAGAGAGCTCATTTTCTCGTTGACAAAAACATGAAATCACGGACGGACAGATGGACAGGGCGAGCACAATAGTGCTTTTTTTCATAAATGAGAAAATGCGCTAAAAACAGATCTGGGTGACAAAAACATTGTTGGGAGTCATTTGTTGCACGTGTTGTGTACAAGTCATCAAACAAATGTTGGAACTTTGGACTACCACCTTCTTCTTCCTTACCATCCCCCAAAATCTTCCCACCGCCCCCCAAAGTCTTTCCACCGCCCCCTAAAATCTTTCCACTGCCCCTAGGGGGGCGGTGATATTACCCACTTTGGGAACCACTTTGCTACAGCATTTTTACGAAATGTGGGACGCCTGTCCCAATTTACCCTGCCCGTCCCTTATTACCCTGTTTGATGGTATATTGAAAGATAAGACAAATCCACCCCTGCAGCTTGAAACACCTATCAGATTAATGTCTTGTAAGTGAGCCTTTTTTCTGTTGGATGCAAAGTTTTTGAATAATCTCTCTAGAAATCACTTGTTACTAGATATATTTCAAAATCAATGCTTAATTTTTTATAATTGATGTTATGTTCACATCTCAACAATCCTTATTTCTTTTCAGTTGCCTCAGACACGCGGCCCAGTAATCCAGCTCTATGGCCATCATTTCAAACAGCCGCCAGCACCATTACTTCACATCATAAAGGTCTGCACCTTGATTATTAAGGAACATCACCCCAGGCCCAGTAGAACTATATTTAATAACTGCTATTAAATTTTTTTTGTGCACTGGCAAAATGTTGTTTTATTATATACTACATTTCTACAAATATTTTCATCAAAAAGAGGTCAATATTTTATATTAATTTGTTATTGAATATAGCTTATGTCATTGGCTGTTTCATCGAATGTTGGTTGCCCTTTTGGTAATTGATTTTTATCTGAGAAAATTATCACAATTTGGGCACTTTGCATATTCCATTACATGAAAACGTCATAACTGTTGTGTTAGTAAACTAAATGCCCATTTTACCATTACTAGTTTACTCATTGATGTCCATAAAAGTGGTCCACTATAGTGATCTTCCTGCACTAGCAAATGTTAACATAATAAATCAAATTTCCAGCCTTTGCAAATTACTATTGATCAAATACTACTGGAACTATATATTCTAGCCACTTTTGATTGCTGACTGCATAAAAATGGAAGCTAGTTAGTGAAATGAAATGAGTTTATTCTTTTGATTCTGTAACTCCAACATCTATTTGTAACTATTCTTTGAAAACATATTGCACAAGGCCAGGCTATGAGTTAAATGCCTAGTATACCGGTAACCATTATTTTACAATATATGAAACCATAATGTCAATATTGTCAACATGTAAACTTCTATTGACTGATTACTTCATGTCTGAAGTAGTTATATTCTTGTTTGTTAATATCTTATTTAATAAAACACGAGCTCATGGAACTATTTTTACTGTATTAAAGCTAGTAATGACTTTCTTCTAAATACATTCACACCATTAATTTTCAATGCAACATTGTGGTGCACATGAAGATTTATTAGTTTTGAGTATGTAGGTATTGATAATAAAGATACCGTTAATATAATCTTGTATTTATAAATGATTCTGTTTAGAAAGAGTGGATCATTTAGTACGGTATTGTTATATCCAGTTTGGCTACTGGTAATTTCAGTTCTCGTGCTAGGTTCACCCCGTCACTCATGGCCCTGGGCCGTCTCATCACTAACCCACTAATTTTCACTTTTCATCTGCATGTACCATTGAGTTTTATTAAATATATTTTCGTTTGGTTCTTCCTCTTGTTTATTCTCCTGAGTTTGTTTTGTTGCATGAGCTGGTACTTATATAATACACTGGCCGGACCGTCGACCTTTAGAGGTTTCTGACCCCCAACAATATCAGGACTTGTTAACATGTTCTAATTAATGTGCAGCCTGCGTGGAGTACATCAGGAACTGCGAGCAGATTGCACTAGAGGCAGGATCTCATCGGCGCACTCGAGACTTGCTCACGTGGTCCAAGAGAAGAAGAATCATACGCAGGGAAGAACTCATTGCTTTTCTTGCTGGAAAAAGTCCTCCTCCTAAAGCCCACCATAATAGTTACAGGTCAGCTAATATTCTGCCATTACCATAGAAAAATTCTTTATTCCAAGGTCCACAAAATGATTATTTAGTTATGCAATATCTTACATAATCTTTTGATGATAAGGACATGAAAAATCTATCTATGTGTTGAGTGCCATGATTATTTTATTTGCCATAATTGCTTGAATTTGTGTTAATCTTGTCACAAAATCAAATAAAGCAAAATATGTTCTCAACAGTTGCTGCTAAATCACAGAATTCCTATTCATAAATATGATAGCTCTATAATAACTCCATAAATGTCCTTGAATCTAGAGTTATTCTCACCCAACTAGAAATGCTCTACAACATAAATAATCCCTGAATGTTCATTTATATCATCATGGTATCATTGTTGTTAACATTAAAGCCTAATTCAGCTAGAGTTATTACCGGTACTAGCTCAAGTTTGTACATGTTCACTTGACAAAACATGCTTCAACTGATGAAAAATGTCAATAATCAGTGTCATCCTTTACTTGGTGATTTGCTGTTACAGAGTATATTTTCCTACCTAAGAAATATTGTCAATTTTTTGTGTGTATGATAGCTCTTTTTTAATATCTGACAAGGCAGCCATTGTGCAAAACAGCTATGATTCATTTTTATTTTTAGGGTTATTCTTCTATAGGGCATTTCATGAAAAGCAGTAGATGGTCTTGCCATTGTGTGCATTACTTAAGAATTTCGAGATGATTATTTTAGATATACGCATTTAAGTTCTGGTTATACATAAAATTAGCGTGAATTATTTTTAAGAGCATTTTACTACTTTTTAGGTTTGTTCACCTAGCGGTCTAGCCTAACCTCATGAATTGAGATTGGTTGTTTCAATTTTGGCAATTACCTGAAATTCATTATGTGGCGGATCTCCATTTCAATTATTCCTTACATTAATTGTTATGCGCATATCTTTATGAGGCATTTTTCCTAGTGGAATGCTCTTTCCTTAAGACTTTTTGTAATTTATGGATTTAGGTTGCAAAATTCTGAATTATTGATTTTGCACAATGTTCTTACGTCTGCCTGGTCTCCTGACAGAGGAAGCTGTCGAGCTCGCGTACCTGACCACCAGCGGCCGCGGCCCCGCCTTCCTCCTTCGCCACACTCTTCCCTGCCGCACTCCCAGGAACAGGACCTCAACACCTTCAGGGAAGCCCTCGGTATTGCTGGTCAGTTCAAGTAATCATTTCCGTTGGCAGTGATCAGATTACTGGAGTAATCATGTCCGTTAGGCAGCCTTCAAATGTCAGAAATTATTGGGTGATATGATTGATATCATTGACGACGTACAGGTAAAGTATTTGTGAACAATGCCTGGACATCGTGATGACTACTAACAGTCACTCTAGTTACCAGGACTTCAGATACGGATATCAGTGACGGCGAATGATGTATTTCTGAAGAAAGGATGACTAAAGCTTTTGTTTTTCAGGGTCACCGACGACGCTGCACCGCCGTCGCAGCCACTTGCATGAGCTGCAGAGCTTCCTAGCAGACGAGTTCACCAGAAACAAGCGCCCTGCGCCCTCCCCGTCACCCCCCAACGCCTCACATGATGTCTGCATGGACTCTCCTCAGCACAAACGCTTCAAGTACACTTAGTACAGAGGCGCCCCACGTGTACGTTTTGTAATATTTATGATGGCTCCTCCTCCCCCTTCACTCGTGAGAGACTTCGATGATACGCGCTCAGTGACGCGTGGTGGGCATCACGCAACTTCGTTTTTGTTCCATTTAACTTGTTCTTTTTACGAAACACTGGAACTATATAAATTCATACTCTCCTCGACTACCAAATTATGAAATTGTGGTGTTCATTAATTTGGCCAACAATCAGCCGTTGATTATCGTTTTGGGAAGCCTGCAGTGCCTGTCAGAAATTACGGGAGATTGATTAAGGATCTTTTTAAGCGAAACGGTAATGTATGATGATTATAAGTGGTATTAGTGTCTGCATTTCTCCTCTTGCCTACTTCTTCTTGTCTCCTTCTTGGTGGTGTTTTTGCTGTATCTCTCTTGCGAGCTTTTGGAGTCAGCAAGCTGTTGCTTATTGCGTATGAACAACTTTCAGCTTCGGAGTGCCAAAAATTCTTTTGTTGAGTACATTTTCGTGTTCGACTTTGAGCTTTGCTTTCAAATTTGACTCAGCTCATAACTAGAAGAGGATGAAGTAAACTTTCTAATGTTAAAAGAGATATTCCTTATTACTCGTGAAGCATTGCGTTCTGCTCCCGTTTCTTTCTTTAATTCACTCTGCTGTAACAAAATGGAAATTTTCTGAAACTCTGTAGCCCAAATTGTCAGTAATGCCGTAGTATCTCGTCAGATGAATAATGTGCAGGTTGCGTGTACCTTCTTCAGTCTGTTAGTCCGAGTGGCATGGTCGTGGTTGCACTCAGGTGCACTTGGCGGGTAACGGCAATTTTTGATTTCACAATATAAAAGAAAATATATATTTCCCTCTCAACATTTGTCTTCCTACATATTGTCCGTTTAATTATTGGGTATGAATTTCGCTGATTGTGGAATGAGTTTGAGTTCCACTTTGTACTTGCACGTAGAAGTTGGATTTGTCCATCACTGATGTACCGAGTCCATTGTTTGCCAGTTGATTTTTATGTTAAATCGCCTCAAGGATTCTATTGAATATTATTACTTTGATCAGTACAGTATTTCCAGGAAGCTTTATTTTCTTTCTACCTCGTCATCAGTTTCTGTGAACAATTGCTCGCTTTACAGGAAATAAGTTTTATTAATAATACTGCTGGCTCTGAAGTTCTAACTATATTGGTTAATTATTAGAACAAGAACTTTAATGTAAGGATTACCATGCGAAAAATATTCATTGGGAGCACCTAAGGCTAAAATTTCAGTGATGTTGCGGATTGAGTCGTTAATAAAACTTCGAATGTCCGGACCTCAATCCCCGAATGGACTTGCTTATGATATGCAAATTGCGTGACTTGCATAACTCTTATTTAGTTGCTAACTCTGAGCTTCTGAAATCTATGGATAGATGGAAAAAGATGTTTTGGGATAATTCTATTCACCAAACCGAGTACTGTATTATGTGACTTCTGCATTATGTAGCCTATGTAACGAGTTCTGCATTGTTACTCGTGTGCAGCTGTCAATACAAGGGAAGTGGTGTGGAAGTCAATTAAACTTCGCATCGCAGACGATTCACAATTTGAGAGAAATGTGAAAGTTATTGATCAATCCACGAACAGTGTACATAGTCTATGTTTTGCAGCAATCATTACTTTCTCATCTTGAATCCTAACCTGTTCAGATAATTTATTCAAACAGTGGAACTGTGAAATTATTCAAATATGGAAACAGTAAAACCTACGGTTCTTGCGATGTTCAAATTGAGTTAAGAATTAGTGAATCTCATGCAGGCAGCTCTGAGAGTCGAATTATTAAGCCTATGCGTTGCTGTGTATAATCTTCATTGCAAGCATTAATCAAATGCCTACGTTATGTTTGATCTAAAAGACTAAAACTGTTGTCATGACCATAGCTTGTTCAAAATTCCCTATTTTTCATAAGGTTTCTGTTATGAATGGTAAAATTTATCTTGAATATTTACATATTTATATACATGGTTGATTAGTTCACTTTGAATTAGTTACTTTGTTGTTTTGCCTAAAGTTGTAAATTTTATTATTTTAAATTTAAATTCAGCACTTAATGATATGACAAAATGTAAGCGGGTACAGTTTCTTGGGTTTCAAATCTTAGCTATTAAAGTATCTTGCTCCTGATACTGCAACTTTTGTGTCTGAATGATACCGTATCTTCGTACTTATAGTAACACACATCTCATCATGTATGGTAACAAAGAAAAAATGATTTTATTTATTATTATTATTTTTTTGCTTCTCTTGCCCCGAAAAAGACCGCTAAATTGTGTTCATCTCACGCCAAAATTCATGTCATCTCTTTTTAGCGCATTTTCTCATTTATGGTAAAAAGGCGCTATTGTTTTATCATCTTTTGCTTCAATTCTCTTTTATCTCCTTTGTGAATAATAACTTCAGTTGGGCTATGGCATTTTGCTGCCACGATGACATTTCTGCCACTGCCACATAGTAATCAATGGCTTGCTGCCACTTAGACGGCTTCTTGCTGCCACTTTGATGACAATTTTCAGACTCATTCAATGGCCTCTTGCCACACCTACGACATTTGCTGCCACATTGTTTGCATTTTTTTGCCGCTTCGTTGAAATTTTGCTGCCAAGACTTGCTTTGGATAATTTATTGATAGCGTGCAGTGTTAATTTTGTTGAGCAATAAAATTGAATTAGTATTATCGTTCGTGCATAGGAAGCTGCTGGCTCACGTTGATGTAATGGAATGGTTTAACACACCTCAGAGACCGAATGGTTTGTAAGGCTTGGCCGTGTTGAAAAATTTTTGTTCACTCATAAGCTACGGTAAGATTTTTATGCAGCTGCTGGATTGTGAAGCTTCCTAACGACGCTGTCAGAACAGTCTTCAAGTTGAGACTTGGATGAACTTTCGGTAATTTGCAGATTAAATTACGTTGAAATAAGCTGACCTTTTGTTTTGCTGTCTCGTTAATTGAAACGTATTCTTATACGAACAAAGTTTATTTTACATAGATTTGAAAAGGTTAGAACTTTTGTTTGCTTCTGGAGTGCGGATCCCATTTTACGTTTTGGTTGGTTTCGAGTGCGCGGATGCCTCGATTTTTAACGAACCAATGTTTCGATAGTGAAAATCCAGTGTGTATAATTGCAAGGCAGAAAACATCGCGATGTTTCCTGAACCTAGACTCTAATCATTTATTGTCTAGTTGCGTTCACTTGAATCCAAACGAATTTCTCATTTATTTTTCTATTTGCATTTTGAGGTGATGCACAGTTCGAAGCGTGACGATGATCTTAATTTGAAACTCGTTGTTGTTCCAAATTTCATCCGTTTTGTTTGCCGACCTCGAGCATCAGAAGGACCCAATTGCGCTAGTGGCATTGATCATGTGAAGCCGTAGCCTCTCAATTCATTTCAAATTCTATCTTTAATGGGTCTAGAACTGCTAGTGTATTGGGAATAAAAGTTATATTTTATAGACGAGTCTTGAGTTTAAAATCATCAAAATAGTTGAACGGCAACCGTTTCCAAATTACATTGGTTGTTTTCTTAACGGCAAGGACGCAAAATAATTGTTTTTGAGCTGCTTTTCATGACGGACATTTTAAGCTGCAAATATCATTGACATTTTGCGCGACATATCGCGCAAAATGTAGAGGCGTGAGCGAGCCTGCATTAGGGCCGCCTAGGACTCTGGGAGCACGTAAATCAGCTTCTCTATGTCCGCCTCAGCCCAGAGTTCGAAAGGCAGCCTCTGGGCAGCTTGCGAGCTCGGTATGATCATGCAACGAGCCCGGTTTGTTACATTCTGTTCGTGACGGGAATAAAAGTTGTAAAACTGTAAAGACGTGTAAAAGTTGTAAAATCACATAACCTAGTGGCGTATTCATGCTGTGATGCTTGTAATAGGAAATCCTGATGGTAAATGAATCCCTTTATTCCCTTATAAACCCGTAGTCAGTTGTGTGTTTTTGTTTAGAATATTAACTTTGATAAATTTAGGGAAGCGCAATTGCGTTGATTGGAAACGATTTTTTTTGATGAATTTTATTTATTCTAATTTCCGCTATTTTTTATTTGAAGTGTATTTTTTATTAAAAGGATTCTTTTAGAGTCAATGCGATTTTCACTTTTTCTCGTGCTTGATGAATAACTTTTGAATAATAATTTTTCTATAATGCATTACTACTGCGTATAATTCATAAGCAACTCATTCTCAAGTGTGAATGACACCAAAAACTGCATGTACGCTTCGCAGGGCTAACATAACCGTTCTGCTCAGCCTCTTGAATAATATAAGTAGATTTTTTTAATGCTCGATAGATTCTGGCTAAAGTCATCAATAATTCCTGCACATAAAATATGTACGCATCTCATTCAACAATTGAATGTAACCTCGCCTTTTTTCAGCAATTGCGATACTCCTGAGTAGTTGAAGTTGGGTTCAGTATTGTATGATATATTTTGATTTGGTTGCCCTATCTCTGTATTTTTAAGAACAAATCGCTGCAAATGATACTGATTTTTAGTCTATATTCATTACAATGTGTAAATGTAATGCGAATCTAAGCTGACTTCAGCTTCACTTAATTAACTTGTGTAGCTTCTTTTCAGGGCTCATTTATTCCCTTGTAGCTTTTTTCTATTCTAAAAGATTTTCCCTGCTAGATTACAGAGCGGCATTACACCCACATTTCTGACTGAGCTAATGTAGGGAATCTTTATTAATGAAAAAAGGAATCTATTAATGCAAAAATTTACCATTGAACTTTTGAAACACGTGTTGCAGCAAACTCTGTCTACGGTGCTATGTGAAGCTTAACAAAAATGCTCTTAAGACGCTCAGTGAATACCGTACCAATAAAATTGAACCGCAACAATCGTAATGACATACGTAAATTAACGTCCGTTTCCTCTATATTTTCCTCTGCAGTCGACCAATCTTCTCCGATTGTGAGCATGATTTAACTGTATTGTGATGCAAACAAAATTACGTGGAATGTAGGGATGTTTTTGAATAAATTTTCACTGGTCTCTGCTGCTGGTGAACACGGCGTTCTAAAAGGCGTAGTGAAGACTCATTCCAGATTGGAGCGTAAAAAAATTCTACATTTGGCATGTAATTCATTGGTCTGAGTCCCGTAAAGGCTTCTGAGCGCTAACTGCATCACAATCTAAAACAAGTTTTGTGAGGTAAGTGAGGCGAGCTGCATGCAGGTTCTCTGCTATGAGTAGCCCACCGTCGGCTGCAGTAGAAATTCTGTATTCCAGGACTTAGTTATAAAAAGCGGAATTTTCTGTTGGAATATCAATAATGTTTAAGACTTTCGTTCGTTATAAACTATCCCCATGCATTGTACTAGATTATATGGGAATGATTGGCAGGATTGAATTTGTATTTGGACCACAATATGATTTTGCACCATTGTAAGAGACGTGAATATCCTGTATAAATGTAGACTTGTAATTAGCATTTTAGTGTTGTTTTAGTTGCGTGCATCCAAAGAGACATATTTTGAGATACTGTCCGCTTGAGGTCATAGAGTCCTCCATACATTTTTTCCTTCGATAGGTTTGGAGGGCGTGTGTAAAAACTGTCACTTAAATATTGTCCTTAACTTCAGAATATTAAAGGCTTAGTGACGTATCTCCTGAAGCAGCAGGTTCAACTATCGATGAAATAAACTTTCAGCCAAATGTTCGTTTATTAAATCATTAATAACTGTTGAACGTGGGGAAGTGAATAAGAAGGATGAATTGTGAATAAGAGTCCCGCTTCCTTGAAATATTTATCAGTGACTCCAAAATTTACACAATAAAACATGGGTTATGAGATAAATGGAATAGGTTATTAGACTAGCTTTACTAATGATTCTCGTGTACTGTTCATCAACTAAAACTGGAAATGTTTAAATTATAAATTGTGCAAATTCATGGAGTGCAGGGGGTTAGAACCAAAATTATATTGTTGTGTAAATATCTTAAACGAGCCGTGGACTGATGAAACGGGTTAAAGGTTCCCCCAAGGAGCCAAGTTTTCCCGTACTTCAGCCGTCGAAGGCTGCAAAAGAATTGATGTTCTAGGTATACATGGAAGGATGCATACATAGATAAATTCGTGACATTTTGTCCAAATATCGATGCACTGTTACTCGTTATGTGGGTCATCCTGACCCAGATGAGCCCAGAAAAAGAGTATTTCAGTATTACAGCCGCTGTTTACTCCCTGCGGTGCGTGGAAAATTATCACAGTTTTCGACAATAACTCGTAAATTTGTTCAAGCTTGGTTAGGAAAGCACGTCTCGTTACCATTGGGTGTCAATGAGAAACAATGCATCAGAAGTTAAGGAAGTTTTTAGTTGACAAATTCTATACTATAAAGTGAAAAACTTGTACAGTTTCAAACCAGTTCATAGGGAGCATCACAGGAAGGAACCTCTTTCAGAACCTACAGAGTTGGTGGGGATTAAAGATATAATAAGGACAAAAAGATCATACGAAATAATGTGATAATTAGGCATGTGCTCGATAATTTCAATATACAGAAGAACACATAATGCCACTAAACTTATGCATGTAAAATACAAGTTTTAACATTACTACCATCAAAAAATATATGTTTAGATGTAATTAAAGCTTAGGACTAAGTATAGTATAATAAAAGTTTCGTCTGTTGCTATAAACAATATAAATTAAACTAAGAAAGATCTTTCGTGATAATCAGATAGATAAAGTTAAATAAATTCACCTCGATCAAATAGCTAGTACGATTTATACCGGCCTAAAACTTACAAGATAGAGAAACAATAATGCCAATTCCACGTCTATTGGCGATGGTTGCAAGAAGTCAATTGAATATTAATTATCTTTCTACTCAAAAGATACAAAATGTTACCGTCGATTCGTTCTAGTTATCCTCTCCACTTCCTCTTGCTGCACATTATATGTCCCAGAACGGCTATTCGTTTTCACGCGAAATCTGCTCCCTCATATTTAGTTGAATGCAAGAGAAGAGACAGCGAAGTCCAATTTATGGTTTAAGCCTGTGAGAAATGGGAGATTTTGTTTTTTCCTTCACTGCCACGTCATCAATGAAATGACGTGGTAGCGGATGAATACACATCAAAATTACATAACTACTGCACTGGCAGTCGCTCGTCAAAAATTTTTTTTTACAAAAAAATAAACACAGCAAGTTTACTCACCCTCTTGATGAATTGCTTTAAAAATGAAAAACGAAGGATCCCACGCATAAGTTAGTTTAGTGGCCAAATGTTTAATAGCGCTTCAACTATTTAGCTATCTCGCACCGAAAGTCAAGATGAACATCACCATCGAGGTGGAAGGTCTCAATTATTCATCACCCACAAGGGGCGGAAGGTCTCAATTGTCCAGCCCGCTGAAGCTGGCTCGAAGGAAGCAGCGTTAGCATCTCAAAGAGACGAAGTGACAAGGAGGGACAGGTGAAAAGCAACAGAAACGAAGACACTTGAACAAGAGGTCGCTTACACGGGACGTCGGCCACCCGCACGAGAGAGACAGAGAAGGGAAATGCAAGGAATCCTACCTACATAACAACTTAACCCTACAACTGAGACCTACAGTCAGACACCGCGAGCCCAACGTTGGGGCGCTCAGGAACAATCCTCCTAGGAACGCGAAATCCCATAGGACTTCTGACGAGCACAGACACGCGTCAGAAGCGTCAGAAGTCCCCCCTGAGGGGTCCCACGCATAAAGCACAAGTTAAAACTGCGCAGAAACTAACAAGTCCTAATTCAGGAACACTTCCACACGACAATGATTTGACACATGAATTGTCCCCAATATTGTATATCAACATTATGATGGAAACTGGCTGCTATGTGCTCCAGGGACGAGTCTCGCTTCTGCCGCTGCATAATCAAAACTTGTGACCAATCCTGTTACGTAATCATAGATTGATTGTTGAGGATGAGCATGGCAACAAGTTCACTAACATTCTAAGAAACATTTTTATAGTTGTAGTTAGATAATCCAGTTGCCTTAACGTTAATGAGACACAAGTCGCCGCCTCCGATCTAAACGATCTATTTAATCAACCGAATTGAACGTGAACTTTCTAGTAATAGTTTCACACTATTAGTTGTTAATCAAAATTTACAATTGTATTTATGACCAGCACTATACGATTTGTATTTACGCGTAGCGAGTTAAGTGGAATATCTGTAGTGTCGTCTCATTTGTGATTGCCGGTACAGGTATTGTCCCATTCAAATATGCAAGATATTACCCGCTAGCAACCAAGTTTCCAGTCGATGCTCTTCACTGATTTGAACTCGGCAACTCGGATTTTCTTGGTGAAATCGCATTACTTGTGCCATTAAAGTGCACCTCGAGGGATCATTTGGCCTGCAGACGTCTGAGTGTGACGAAGGGCGGTCAGGAGGAGGGCGTGGAGGACGGCAGCGCGAAGCACTCCAGCAACATCGACGAGTTCTCGCGGAAGTTCGCCAGCGCCTTCGCCTTGTGTCTGCTCACGGTTGTTATTAATTGTAATTTAAAACAAAAAAACATCGTGAATCCAAGATGATTTGAGAGTAATGCTTGGGCAACCACTTACGGTAGTTCATCAATTGTTTTCTAATTCAAATATTGTTCTCTAATTTAAATTTCAGACACGATTTTCATATGGTTACTGTTAACGAAAATGGGCCAAACAGTTGGAAAAAAGAGCATTCAACTAACTGACGCAAAAGTATCATAGATTTGTGAAGCAACGGCGTTAAAATAATCCGGCCCTTTTGACTACGTGATTAACTCATATACATGGAAAATATTTCATCGATGTAAAGTAGTATCGCAACAATACATCTACAGGTTACTACTTAATTAACGTCATATCTAATCAGAATTTCAGGAAATTCGATTTTTGGGGAGTTGTTAGGCAAGAATTTTGTCTAGAGGCAATCAAGTTATTAGAATTAGTCTCCTTGGCGAATTTAAAGAGACCAGCGAGGCACTGACTTGAGCTGTTCGGGGGTGAGGGGTGGGAAGAGCTCCTTGGCTTCAGCAAACGACGCCCTGCAACAAATTGTCAATTTAGACTTCGAAAACCATGACAAGTACTAAGAATATAAGCCTATTGCGCAGCGTATAAATTATAAATCGATATAGTAATCGAAGCAGGCTGCCTACCAAAGGATTCACAGTTAATTACAAAGTGAAAATCAGGTATTCATCAGTTTCGTGTATTCGAATTTCAACGTTAAAATGTTTTAACCAAGCAGAATTAAAGCCAAACATCGCGCATCTGGCAGCCACGGTCTTATAGATTAGAACGTGAGCGGCAGCAGCGCTAAGCACAAGCATCGCGCACCTGGCAGCCTCTGTCATGTAGGGGCGTTAATGACAAGCATCGCGCACCTGGCAGCCTCTGTCATGTAGGGCGTTAATCACAAGCATCGCGCACCTGGCTGGCTCAGTCATGTAGGGCGTGAGCGGCAGCAGCAACGCCTCGATGTCGACGACGGCTTGCGTGGTGCCGTGTGTGCTGTACTCCGGCACGCAGCTCAGCAGCCGGCATACCTCCTCCCCCACGCCCTCCAGTACACGGCCCACCAACAGTGCCACCTCACCACTCCACACGCTCACCACCTGTTTATGATATATCATTTCTAACAGATGCATAGGAGGATAGGCCATTCAACCATAAATTCTGTACAAATTCTAAAAGCTTTACTTAGATTTCGATATTTGTTCAAGACTTATCTGAATTGAAATTCAAGCACAGGACTGAAAACACTTTTATACGAGTTTGTAGAAATGGGTTCATGCAGTAGGTTTGGAAAATTATTGGAATTTTTTTAGTTCCAACACATTTGGTTGCCTAAACGGTCACGAGGACTTTTAGTAATAGGCATGCCATAGCAGATCAATATGGACAGATATTTTTTAAAAACAGTCATTTAGTACTACGAACAAATACAGTAGCTATAAACCCGGGCAGAAGTAAACCTGGCCCAACAACATACACAAGTTGTGGCCAGGTAAAAGCACCTTACACGGAAATTTTTCCGAGTTTTAGAACCATGTTTACCACACCCGTATGTTTACATAATAGGTCTGTTGGGCTGAAAATAATTTTAGAATAATTGTATGCCAACAAGGCCAAAGAGCTCAGTTCTGATAAAATATTCGAATCAAGACCAGATGAAACAGTAATATTTGTCGTGAGATCAGATGGAACAAATGCCGTCATGAGAACAAAGGGCAATGAATGTAATTGCTAACATTGAGTGCAACTCACTTTAAGGACATACAAAATTATCGATGATCAATTAACATGTTTCTCTCCATACACTTCTACGGCAATCAAACCAGAAACAAAATTACCTATTCTAAGACCGGCATTGAAAATCTAAATCACAGCTGCACGAGTCGTCTTCGTAGAAATAAGAAACATGATTGGACCTCGGCCTGAACATGTGTGATGTTGAGTAGGATTACAGCACCTCGGCCTGAACATGTGTGATGTTGAGTAGGATTACAGCACCTCGGCCTGAACATGTGTGATGTTGAGTAGGATTACAGCACCTCGGCCTGAACATGTGTGATGTTGAGTAGGATTACAGCACCTCGGCCTGAACATGTGTGATGTTGAGTAGGATTTCCTTGACGTAGGCCCTGGCGTCGCTGGGAGGATGGTACACCTTGGACCAGTCAAAGCCGCCCAGATACATTGAGCGTTCGATGATACCTGTCAAAATAAAGAATATGTTCAATGCAACTATCTAAAATGAAGCTAAAATATTTTAGCCAAGTGTGACTCAAGAAACTAATGTCTATATTGTAATTCAGAACATATGTTTCTTCATTTAATTGGTTCGCTAGGAACTGAAGGAAAACAAGGAAACTCGCTCAGCCCTCAGTAGCACCAAAATATTTTGAGATTTGCCGCCATTTGCCAGTAGCAGGTACTATTTGCAATAGCAGGGAAAATGAGAGTGTCCAGCAAGAGATAGGAACATCCATCACGATTCAACAATATCCACCACAATGCAACAATATCCACCATGATGCAACAATATCCACCATGATGCAACAACATTCAACATGCCATAAAATTATTCACCGTGGCATTACAATATCCACCATGCCATAGCAATATACACCATGACGCAACAATATTCACCATGCAATTACACTATCCACCATGCTGTAACAATATCCACTACGCCACAACAATATCCACCACAATGCAACAATATCCACTACAATGTAACAATATCCACCACGATGCAGCAATATCCACCACGACGCAACAATATCCACCATGCTGCAACAATAACCACCACGACGCAACAATAACCACCACAATGCAACAATATCCACCATGATGCAAGAATATCCATCACGACGCAACAATATCCACCATGACGCAACAATATCCACCACAATGCAACAATATCCACCACAACGCAACAATATCCACCACAACGCAACAATATCCACCACAACGCAACAATATCCACCACGACGCAACAATAACCACCACGACGCAACAATAACCACCACGACGCAGCAATATCCACCACGACGCAACAATATCCACCACATGCAACAATATCCACCATGACGCAACAGTATCCACCATGCCGCAACAGTATCCACCATGCCGCAACAGTATCCACCACGACGCAACAATATCCACCGCGACGCAACAATATCCACCACAACGCAACAATATCCACCACAACGCAACAATATCCACCATGACACAACAATATCCACCACGACGAACCTATTTCCACCATGCCGAAACAGTATCCACGCACCAATGACAGGGTCGGAGCGCTCCTCCAGGTAGGCCTCCAGCAGGCGCTCCTGGAGCTCCACGTAGCTGCCGGCCGCCCTGTCGATGCCCTGCTGCACCTGCAGCACAAACATTCAATTTATTTCGCCAGATCGCTGACAAAACGTCAACAAAACCCATGTTGAAATTTGAACAGCCATTATATGTTCGCATTTTAGAACATCTTATTGTCGCACGGACCTACAATTTTTTCAACTCCTATATTTAAATAAGTAAGTATTTTAATGTTTTCACCATGTATTTATTATTAAATCCCATTTCTGCGACGCTATCTTGACACTCGCAGTAGAATGGTTATTAAATAATCTTTTCCTTAAGACTATGTTCATCTAAAATTTGTCTAGGTTAGATCAGTAAAAGTAACTGCAAATTAAGTGACACCCTTTTGGTGCTGTGGACTGTAATACTAAGCAAACAAACGTAGCTATAGAGGTAGAGATAAGCGCTCGCATCACCGTGGGGGTAACCGCATTACACAACAGCCAACAGGTTGTCCCGATGGTTCGGGCTCAAGCACGTTGGCGCGAAAGGCCTTCGATACCTCACGGAAGTGTTCTAGCTTTCACTCACATCGTCGGTCATCCCGGATACCTGGAAAGCCGGACGCGTCATCCCAATACCCAAACCAGGCAAGCCCACCGATCAAGGCACGTCTTATTGGCCGATCACTCTACTTTCGCCCGTTGCCAAGATCCACGAATCGGTGATCCTACCCGTGATTAACGAACATTTCCAGCCAAAACAACACCAGCATGGCTTTCGGAAAAATCACAGCACAACCACCGCACTACACTTGATTACACACCAAATCACGAAAGGACTGAATCAGCGCAAACCCGCCCACCGCACCGTCTTAGTCGCACTCGACTTGTCGAAAGCCTTCGACACGGTAGATCACGCCATCCTACTGCAAGACGTTTTCGATTCAACGCTACTATCGTTGATAAGACGCTGGCTGTGCAACTATCTGCGAGGTCGTCAATCGTTCGTCGAATTTCGGGGCGTCAAATCGAAAGCCCGAAAAATCAAACAAGGCGCCCACTCTGTTCAACCACTACCTTTCGAAACTGCCACCGCCGCCAGCCGGTATCAACATTATATCGTACGCCGACGATTGCACGATCTTGGCGACTGGGCCAGACGTTGCGGAGTTATGCACCAAAATCGAAGGCTATTTGACAATACTCCACGACTTTTTCACCACTAGAAACCTACAACTCTCAACCGAAAAATCGACCGCCACACTTTTCATGGCGTGGACGGCTGAAGTCAGACAAGAACTGAACGTATCCGTCGCCGGACGCCTAATCCCAACTGTCAAAAACCCCAAAATACTTGGCGTCATTTTCGACAACATGATGACGTTTTCCGCCCACGCCAACCACGTACGTACGTAACCGACTGCGATCCCGCAACAAAGTACTGAAATCGCTGGCCAGAAGCACAAGGGGCAAAGATAAAGAAACATTGCTGACCACGTACAGAGCCATCGGACGCAGTGTCACCAACTATGCTGCACCCATTTGGACGCCACAGTTGAGCTCGTCGAATTGGGCAACTCTACAATCAGCGTAGAACACCGCGTTGCGAGTCGTCACCGGTTGTCACCTCATGTCCGACATAGATCACCTGCATGCGGAAACGAAACTACTACCCGTCAAACAACACAACGACCTCCTGTCCCGTCAATACCTATTAGCGTGCCATCAACCCCAACACCCAAATCGGAACATCGTCACACAACCGCGACCGCCAAGAAATATCAGGAAAGATGTAACATCCTACTTGTACGAAATTGGTCAATACATACAAGTACTAAACGCCGACCACACACAATACAAACAATGCCTGATGAACATACACAGACGGGCAGTAGCAGACGGAATAGCCGGTTACAAGCCGAACGTGGTGCTCGGAGGCTACCCACCACCCTTCGCCGCGGAGGAACATCGGTTACCGCGCGCAACCAGGACCACTTCGGCCCAGCTACGGTCGGGATGGTGCCACCTGCTCAACAGCTATATGAGCCGAATCGACACCAACGTCAACAACGTATGTCCGAATTGTAGAATCGGCCCACACGACGTACAACATTTGTTCAACTGCCCGGCCAAGCCGACACAACTTTCAACACTCGATCTTTGGACGCAGCCAATCGATGTGGCGCGCTTCATCGGCCTCGGGACGGACTAGTGGTTGACGTTGCTACAACAACAACAACAGGTTGTGGGGTTAGCAACGCTAAGCACCCCTCCCTCACCTGGTCGTGAGGGTAGCAACGCTAAGCGCCCCTCCCTCACCTGGTCGTGAGGATATCCTATCCTGACGAGGGAGTCAGTGAGCCTCCTGAGGACCGTCTGCCTCATGTAGGCGCAGTTGCTGAGCGTCACGAGGATCTGTTTCTCGTAGCCGGGAGGCACCGTAGCTTCCTCTTCTGCAGCGCCTCCTGCAGCACTGGAGGGGTGGGGATTGGGTGCTGGGGCCACGTCATCGTCGGGGTCACTGAGGCACAACTGCTCCAGGGACTGTGGAACAATACAGAGGTAATACAAGAATTCGAATATATCATTATCGTGTGCGTTGTGTCTGTTAAAGCGAAAGATTTCTTCCTAACATGTAATGACGAACAGAAATACATTGTTGCAATTCGAAAAAATGGCTGTTATTATTATTTCAAAAAAATCTTGCTTGGATTTATGAATGCTGCATGGGGTTCAACAGTCGAAGTCATTTTATTAAAACAGTAAATGAACAGCCGAGAGTTCCACTGCGTAAGACAGTTCAAAAGATCAGCTGGTCCAGTACGACGAGCCATAGAAGTGTACTATTGTGAGTGTTTAACACTGGTAAACAGATCCCTACCTACCTGTGCAAAGGCAACCACGACGTTATGCAGGAGCGTGCTGAGGTTCCTTTGGACCTCCTCCAGGTGCAGTATGGGCGCCTCGTGTGCCCCACACTCCACCACCACCTCCTTCACCACCTGGCCCGCCTCCAGCACTACACTCTCGAACACGCTGGGCTGCAACGGCAACACAACGAAACGTGCAATTCTCGTAATTCTTAAAAAAACAAACGTGTTACACAAGCAAAATGAACACACATGATTCATTAGTGTATCAAACACACCAAGGAGACAAAGTCTACTGAATGCTTCCGTCACCTCGCGCGACAAAAACCACGATTCATCACAAAAATAATTACTTGATACAAAATTTACTAGTGCTTCAGCTACCGAGCTATCATGCATTCAAGGCCAAAAATAATTTTTCGCAATGAATGAAAAATTTCTCGATCACCAAAAAGTTTCCTACATTGAAAATCTGACAGTACAGTGGAAGTGGATTGTGCAAGTTCCAGTGGAAGATTTCGAATGGCAAGTGGTGGAAGATTTCGAATGGCAAGTTCCAGCCGACTAGCAATGTTAGTTTGAGTGAAACAAATAATTTTGTATGGATAGATAGAGAAGCACAGAGAAATGAACAGCGATGGAAAATGTGAAATGTAAGTCTCCAAGACAGTAGGTCGCTTGCTTGGTGTCTCAGTCCTTCGAACGATAGGCAATGAGAACGAAAGTGTATGTAATCTCACTTGCAAAACAGCTTAACGCCGAAACGGAAATTCGCAGTCACAACAGGTACCACGAGCTCTGAAGTGCGTTGCTCAAGAACATTTTCGCTGTAATCTGTAACTTGACAGAACATCGCAAGAGCTACAAGATACATCAGAGAACGCCCTTTCAAGATTCAATTCGTTTGATTCAAGTATGAATCGAATGAATATGAATACGAAAATCGCTTCGTAGAATAAAGAGAGCAACAATAATGAACAAGATTGACGCTGGGAGAGGAAATCCGTTGGGTGGTTTGTCAAAAAAAGTGACATATGAACTCAACATGGACCTGTGTATGATGCAATGGACTCACGAGCTGCGTGTACCCAGGGGCCGAAGGGTCATCAGGCTCCTCCAACACCCACTTTTCCCGCCAGTGGAGCTTCCTCACGTGCTCCACAGTTTGCTGAAATAGCCACTGCAGGCATTGCACTCTGAAATACAGTACATGGTATTGGCTTACATCAATCAGAAAAAAATTACTCAACTGAATGACAAATATAAATAAGGTATTCCCAAATATCCATTTGTTATAACAAAACACCGACATTTTTTTCTTTAGATGTTGCTGATATCGATCTCCATTACTTTAGTTAAAATAAGACAGAAATATTCATCTCTTTAGTGTAGCTGACGTATTTAGTAGGATAGCCTGATGAATGAATGAGTGATTTATAAGTGAAATTCAAGCATAATGAATAAGGAAGAAATGCACTGTAAATCACCTGAGCTCGAGCAGCAGTCCTGACACGATGTCAAGCGCGTCGTTAGGCAGATCCAGCGTCAGCAGCGACGAGTAACAACCGCGTACAAGTCTAATCACCTGCAATACAAGAAATATCTCAGGCTGCAAGATCAACGTAAAAACATTGTTACTACGATAAAATTATACAAAACATCATTTGATACACTTATATTTGAATAATCAGTCACCTGCAATGCTCTGGTGTAAGTCAAACCAATGAATTTTCTTTTGGTCTAATTTCTGGCCAAGAGCTAGCGTACCTGGGGCATCCAGGGGGTGATGAGGGTGATGGGCGTGTCGGGCCAGGTTCTGTAGTACTGCGAGAGGTCGCCATCTCTGGCCTCAAGAGGCACCGTCAGGCCCAAGATGGCGCCGCGCACCAGGTGCCCGTAGACGCTGATCACCTCCAGCAGCAGCGACTGCGCAGACATCGCGTGCAGCATTAGTGAGGCAGTCTGCACTCGTGACATGATGTAACTGATTGAGATGATGATTACGGTGATGATGTTAACGGTGATGATGATGTCAGTTGAGATGATGTTGTTAAACCTCATGAGGCTCTCACCTTGCAGTGAGGCTGTCTAGTAGGGTCCAACAGAGCCTCATGAGGCTCTCACCTTGCAGTGAGGCTGTCTAGTAGGGTCCAACAGAGCCTCATGAGGCTCTCACCTTGCAGTGAGGCTGTCTGGTAGGGTCCAACACAGCCTCATGAGGCTCTTACCTTGCAGTGAGGCTGTCTAGTAGGGTCCAGCACAGCCTCATGAGGCTCTCACCTTACAGTGAGGCTGTCTGGTAGGGTCCAACACAGCTTCATGAGGCAGCAGTTCCCCTCCAAAGTACGCCTGACTGAGGCGCCAGAGGTCAGGGAAGTTTTCGCTCAGCACGTCGCACAGAGCCTCTACAAACAGCACGCGCACCGGCGCACTGCTCTACAAATATTAAAATTACTCTAACTATCACAAATAAATCAACTATTAGAGTTGCTACATCTATTACATTTACTATAACAATCACAATAACTATAACAATTACTAAAACCATCGCAATTACTATATCTATCCCAATTGCTATTGAACTAACGCAGAGCACCAGTAGTCATTCACCAGATTTTATTCATAACTTGTTTCTACTCCAAAATGAGCGTCCTATGACAATCCTATGATAATATTTCAGACAAATATGTTGATGTTACTCGACTCCTTATCGGCTCAGAACTAGCAGCTAACCTGATGATTATATAATTATTAGTCTCATGATGATTATATAATTATCAGTCTGAAAGCATGCTGGCACTATGTTTCAAATCATCAATTGAGTTAAATCATAACAAGAATTTGAAATAAAGGTTTCAAGACGAGTGCTACTGCGAGCAACTCTCGAGTTCTAACGGCACATTAAGCGCCTCATTTTCTTTATTGAAAGCTGCACCAAGATTATGTCCAGACGCACAAAGTTACAATGCTGGGTTCCAACCTAATTTATTTAATATATCAAAAGCTTGTGGTCCTGGATTAACAACGACTTGTTTAATGACAGGCCATGTTAAACAGACTAAATAGTAAGTGATCTATATATAGTGATCTATGTTTAGGCTCATAATTTCATTGAATACAAATGCAACACGCATGACAAAGTAAAAAATATAACTCAGTAGGTACTCACTGCAGTGAGTGACAGAGAGCGCATTTTCTCGTCGACGAAAACTTGAGGTCACGGACGGACGGACAGACGGACATGGCGAGTACAATAGTGCATTTTTTCCATAAATGAAAAAATGTGCTAAAAATGTGTTAAAAAATTATTTTTTAAAGACAACACTTTTGAAGAATCCAGTGTCTCCAATGTTACACATGGAAAATGAATTTCTAATTTTATTTTCGAATATTAAAGATCAATTTTTAAATTAATTTTTTTAAATTAAAATTAAAAAAAATTGAATTTTCAAGAATCATCTATTCTGTCAATTGATTCAAGCATTGTCTCCGACTTTACGCAAGTGTGCAAAATTTGAGATCGATTAGACAGGTAAAGTGTGTTTAATATAGATTATAAGATTTGTAGCAGACAGACAAACAAACAATCAAACAAACAAGAAGTGAAGTTAAAGAGAAGTGTTGTAAGATACTGCAATGCGTTAGAATAATTAAATTGTTGAGCTCTCGCTTTAAAAAATTATTGATGCAAAAAATTTCCAGTTAAGGGCGGCTCAAAAGCCAGTTAGTTAATGGCAACAAGCTGCAGCACAAGTCACCTAGCACAAGAGAGGCTCATAAGCCTGGTAGTTAATGGCAACAAGCTGCAGCACAAGTCACCTAGCACAAGAGAGGCTCATAAGCCTGGTAGTTAATGGCATCAAGCTGCAGCAAAAGTCACCTAGCACAAGAGACAGGTAGTTAATGGCGTCAAGCTGCAGCAAAAGTCACCTAGCACAAGAGAGGCTCAAAAGCCAGTTAGTTAATGGCGTCAAGCTGCAGCACAAGTCATCTAGCACAAGAGAGGCTCAAAAGCCAGTTAGTTAATGGCGTCAAGCTGCAGCACAAGTCACCTGATAGTCGCCCAACGTAGACGTCATAATCCTGTTGTACTTGGCAGCGGGAGTCGAACCTCCAGCAGTCGTTGCACTGCCTCCTGTTGGCCATCACATGTCATTAGATTTACTGTGATCTAAGGCGTATGAAACGAGCAACAAACATTTCTGTGAAACGCATTCTATGGCCTATTAAATTCAATCGTAATTCAAAAACCTTATAACTTTTTGCAGGCTTTGCAAAGCAAGGATTTACTAACGGTCACGCCATTTTGATTGCGTAATACATCGAAAAACAGAACTATACCTTATTTTCAAGACAGCAACGTGAAAGAAAGAAGCAGCATTAACTTTCTGGTAAAATCAGCTGCAATAAAACTAAATGATATTTTAAGCATACACGACAATCCATGAATCTGTGAGATTCCACAGATGATCTAGAACTTGCTTTGCAATCAGGTACTTTGCCAAGTGTATTTATTGACACTTAATAATTGATTTACGATTTTTAATGAAAAATTTAAACTCCCTAAATCATCAAAAACAATAGCAACAAAACCATGCAAATGAACTTTTTTTTTAATTTAAACTGCAGCAAAAAAAAAAAAAAAAAAACAGGTAGTATGCAACGAGGAAAAATTGTCTCGTCACCGCTTAAACAAAATGTTAACTGGAAAAATGTTGCTAGGATAAAAGGTTTGCAGGGACAAAATGGTTGCTGAGGTTAATGCTTGCAAGGACAAAATGGTATCTGGGACAAACTGTTTGCTGGGACAAATGGTTGCAGGGACTAGAAATCGACTGGGAAAGAATGGTTGCAGGGACTAGAAATCGACTGGGAAAGAATGGTTGCAGGAACAAAATGATGTCGTGGACGAAATGGTTACAGGGACAAGTATAGGACAAGTATGGCTGGCACAAGTGTAGGATAAGGGAGCGGCAGGAGCGACAAGATGAGCGCACCGTGGTCCCCGACGCTGCCGTGGTCGCGGTCTGCGAGCTCGCGGGCGAGGTTAACGTCCCGCGTGGCGTGCAGCTGAGACAGCAGGTGTGACTGCCGACTCAGCAGCGACTCCCACGCGGGGTCCCCGCTGCTTTCAAGATGTTGAAGGTTCCTGCAAAGTCAAATCTGCTTTAAAACTCACATTCAGTCTTCAAAACTTCACTTCGGGATAATAATATTGTAAAGATTTATGAAATATTTATTTATAGGCAAATGCTCCGACTCACAAGTGGATTGAGTATTAATAGTCATTATTAATTATATTAATTACAGTTCACTTCAAAACAAAGATAAAAATAATACCTATGCGTTTAAAAATTACTTTTTAGAGACAACACTTCTTAAGAACCCAGCGTCTCCAATGTTACACATGTACAATGGATTTATAATTTTATTATCAAATTTTACCAAAAATTAATTTTCAAATTTTATTTTTAAATTAAAAAAAAATTTCAAAATGATTTATTCTGTTAAGTGATTCATGTATTGCCTCCAACTTTACGCAAATGTGGTACATTTCAGATCGATTGGACAGGTAGAAGTGTTTTAAATATCGATTATAAGATTTGTAGCAGACAGACAAACAAACAAGAAGAAGTGAAATTAAAGAGAAGTGTTGTAAAAATAATTAGACAAAACTAAGCAGGTGCTGCTCGTGGTATCTGTACTAATCATAATAGGTTATTAGCATTGTACAAGTTGAATAACTTTGCACGAAGATTGTTTGTAGAATGTATGCCAACCTGATTATCGTCTTATGATACTCGAGGGGCGCGGGTACTTAGCGTATGTGGAAGCTGTAATAATTTGGCTTCTAGTAAAAGGATGTGAGCCTCACCTGATTTCTTGCGATGATTGAAGGGCGCAGAGAGTTGCATATGTAAAGGCTTTACTAATTTAGCTCCCAATTAAAGAATATACTCCTACCTGATTATTTTCTTGTGATGCTCGAGAGGTGCGGGTAGTTTACGCAGCTGCTGCCATAGCACCTCGCGCAACTGGTCAATGCGACGCTCAACCTCGGCGCTGAACTGCTGGAACAGCGGCACGTGAGTGTCGCCAAAGAGGCTTTTGGCGCGCGCGTAGTCGTTGATGATGACGTCGTAATTCCCTTCTGCCATGTTGCGCTCGATTGACACTGGCAGGTACAGCAGGAAGCGGAATCTGTGAACAACAAAACCTCGGTGAACACATGGGGCGAGAATAGCAGGAAATGGGATCTGTGTACAAGAAAACTCGGTGAACACATGGAGGCAAAAACAGCAGGAAATGGGTACTGTGAACAACAAAACTTGGTGAACACAAGGAGGCAAAAACAGCAGGAAATGGGTACTGTGAACAACAAAACTCAGTGAACACAAGGGGCGAGAACAGCAGGAAATGGGTACTGTCAACAACAAAACCTCGGTGAACACATGGAGGCAAAAACAGCAGTAGGTGGGTTCTGTGAACAACAAAAACCTGGTGAATACATGGGGCGAGAAAAGAAGGAAGCGGAACCTGTGAACAACAATACTGGGTGAACACAAGGGGCGAGAACATACAAAATTGGGTCTGTGAACAATACTGTATTACTACAACAGAAGAGATTAGCAGAAAGTAGAAGTTAGAACAATGATACTCGGTGAACACCTCAGGGGTTAACAGAATGAAGTAGGGTTTGTGTCAGCATGATATTTACCAGCACCCCAATTAACTCAAAGGATATAAACACTGATAAAAATTATCTGCAAAAACAACAACAAAGCAGGAATTTTTGTAGCTACATGCTTGAAGATAGGAAAAGATTAAAAAATATAATATGTAAATCCAATATCAAAAGCAATATCAATTATTCTACAGCTGACCTGTGGAGAACATTGAGCGCATTGCGCGTGCTGTCCGCCTTATCTTTTCGTTGCAAAACGTCTTCAAACAGCTGGTCTGCTTCCTTCTTGCAGTCTGCAATCAACAAAAACTTCTCAATAAAAATATTTAATGATCAATAATGAAGTTAGTAATTATGGATGGAATATATTAGCAAAAACTAAACCTATGAATTATCAAAGTTCATGTCCTTAAATACCCATGTGTCGCAACTGCATCACAGCATTCCGTTGCAAAATATAAGATAATTTTACCGCCTGAAACATTGAATAACAGCAAGATATCTTAATTATGCCAATTAACAGTAAAACAACCTTGAAGACACTATTATTAATGTCTCTTGTCATGCAAATAATGGGCTATGCTTGTATACAATAATGAAATAACAGGTAATATTAACACTCACTAGCAATAGCAGAATTGAGGGTGTCGATGCTGACGCGCATATCAGCGGCGTCACTCTCAACCAGGGTCTTGAGCTCGAGTAGGGTGTCGAGCTGCTCAAGCACAGACCCGACATTGGCCTTCAGGAAAGAAATTTGACCTTCTTTTTGGGAATTGACTTTACGTTCTAGGTGCTGCAGGCCCGCCTTGAGATCAAGGAAGCCCGTGGCGCGGTGATGCTCCAGTAGGAACCAGGCAGGATTGAAGGAGCTGGAGGAGAGGTCGCCATTCTGGCCAGGAAAAAGAGAAGGCAGGTCCGCATCCAGTTCTGTTGACCTGAGAAAACGGAAAATTCACGTTCTAGACTTAAATTCTGTAACCATGAGAGCAAAGTTCAGGTTACATTACAGAATAATTTGTTTAGTTCTGATAACTAATGAAATGTTGCGAATGATTGTAGTTAGACTACAATGAACTATAAATGAAATGGAAATTTGTACCCACTGATATTACTCGAGCAACACAGAGCTTGCAAGCGTAGCTGCAAACTCAAATAACGGTGTATAATTCAAATTTATAGAAGAATTCAAAGATCAGCTTAGAGATAGCAAAGTACATGAAAAATGAAATGACACGTATTTACCAAAATAACACAGAGATGCTTGGAAATTCATAATTCATTGTGTAAAATAACATGGTGAATTTATTAGCTAAGTAGCTAAATTCAAATATCTTAATTCAGAAAATGCATGTACAATGATGAAGATTTAAACCTGTTTTAAAATTCTTTGACTACAAGCAGCCTACTTGCCTATTAAGGCCGGATAGGTAGATAGGTAGTCAAATAATCATGTTATCTATTGAGGGTTGATATAACCTCATTGATCAACTTAGTTGAAAAGTTGTGTACTTGAACGAAAATATTATGAAAACACACAGCCAAAATAATTGCAAACATGGATAAGACACCAGGCAAACAAAAAAAAACTTAGCAACATAAAATTGAGGAACACAAATACAAAACTGCACCACAAGATTTATCCAGCCCAAAGCCTACTGCAAGACCAATGCTCAATGTCAGAATAGAATTTCATATGGAACTTGCAATCAAGTGCACAGGCAATCTACCGCCAGGATCACCAATGGCTTTTTTATTATTTCCAGGTTACAGTGACTGACTAGCAGGAGTTTTAAATGAGTTGTAAATGTACACAGAGAAGTAAATGTGTGATATAACAATGACACAAATAAATGGATACAATATAGAAATTGAATAATAATAAGAAGTACATTTTTTTAATTTTTCATACACCAAGTCTAATTAAATGTAGACTTGAATGTTTATTCAACCTTGTTGCTAAGTGGTTAAGAATCAGTGAAATTTTTAGATTGTCTTAACAAAAAGCTCAATTTTCTCTTTTAATACTGTTGAAATTTGATCATTATCCCCAATTCAAGCAGAACTGAACAACAGGACTCACGTGTTGCCTTCAACAGAGAGTCCAAGAGGATCCTCGTGCAGGATGGGGCCAGGGGACAAGGGGCGCTGCCGACCAAAAGACAGCTGTAGGATTATAGATTCATCCACCCACACTGCTGACTCTTTCACAGCACTCAGCACCTCTTGGTACCCTGGGTGATGAATACATTAATAATTTCATGAATTACGGTATCAATGCTGTGGGAAAATATTTCCATTCATCGTGTTACCTTGGGTGATGAATACATTAATAATTTCATGAATTACGGTATTAATGCTGTGGGAAATATTTCCATTTATTGTGCAATGAATAGCCAGTTTCCTACTTGAGATCCTAACAAATCTCAAATTCCTACAGTGAAATTTGCATGGGTGAATTATTGAATGTGCACTATTAGATTACCTATATAATAAAATTTTGCAAAGTTATTAAGTTCAGCTGAGCATTTGAAGACAAAATATGATAGACAACAATATATTTTAATACCCAGCAAACTACCACAGCTAACATGAGATGAGAGATAGCTAAGAAACCTTTAGTTTTAAAGTGTCCTGAAATTTTTGCATTCTTGGTTATAAGATGCAGCTCACACCCCAAGGCAATTATTGACATATGTTTATAAATTTCTAAACACTTTATTTGGAATGACTTCAATTTTATACTAGATAAATAATACATAAGAAATAAACAAACATGTACCTCTAAACTGAACAGTGGAAGACCCTCTTCCTCCAGATGAGGTTATGATGATAACATCTCCTTTGCCAATGCCTCCACCACTTCGAGCTATAACTTTTGTGGTTGACTTCCATTCTGCTGTGAGCAAGCAGTCCACTCCACAGATGATCACACCTTTGAAATATAAAAAAAAATCAAGTTATTATCACATATTATCTAACTGCAGAGTTCAAGCTAGATGCAATGAAGGCATAGTATCATGCAGATGAAAAACGACTAAGAAATTATGTTTACCTACATGAATTCTACAATTCAATTGGTTGATTACATTTAAGGCTTTAATGGCTAATTTAATTGGAGATGTTTCTGAGCATTTTACACTCAAACGGAATGACTTTTCATAGAAAATTGAATAGTTTTCAGATGTAAAAGAGGTACTCCATAAATTCTATGTTATGCTGAGATTAATGTCAATAAACTTTGCAATTTCAATGCAACCAATCTTATATTCAATGAGCCCTATAATTCAAGGCAAAAGTATGCTGCACATTAATCTGTAACATGGATAGCAATGAAGCCTTCCATGAACACAAATGAAAATTGACCAACAATTTCATGGTGATGAGAAAATCTTACTACTAAATTATGTCACTATTATAACAGTCACTGTGAACAAGCTAAAAACCATGAGCCATTAAGTTGCCTAGCTCAATCTAGTTAAATTTTTTAGAAGTTTATATATATAGAGGCATTGACTGAATAGTTGTAATATGATTACAAATTCTTCAAATACATATTAAATTAATCTAGCTTTTACTTTAAACAATATCTTTGAAATCTTACAAATTGATTTATATATACACATATTAAAAATATGGTTATACTGAATAAAAGCCAAATTCTTTCCATTCAAGAGATATTGCTCAAAAATTGGTCATTGATGAAAGGGAAACGAGTGTTGCTGGCAAAATTTGATAGTAAATTTTATAAAAGCCTAAAAATTCATAATAATGGGGCTGCGGGGCATGAGCAATGTAAAACATCAATATTTATCTGAATCTTCCAACATGTCAAGTGGAAATTCATGATCATCATCAGCTTTTACTCAAAGTTGAATAAAATTTCACAGATTAAATTAGACAAAGCCTCTTCATCAAAATGCTCAAAACTTACCAATTAGGTCTTCTGGATGTGTTCCCAAATTTTCCCCTCTGATGGTGACTTTGGTGCCTGGAACTCCTTCTATAGGAGACAAGCCAGTGACAGTGGGTACTCCTCCACCAACCATTTCACTTGTCTTGCAATAGATCCTTTAGTCAAAAGATTAGATGCTTCTTCACACTACATTTGGCTGAGAATCTAAACAGTGACAAAACATCTAAAATTTCACAAACACTAGGATAAAAATAGGATTATCAGCTGTTCAATAAGGAATAATAACTAAAACATTGAAAGATTTTGTCCACAGAAAATAATCATATACTAGAAAAAATTTTCATCTAAGTTGCAGCAGGATTCTTGAATGGACCTAAAGAGTGTAAAGACAACACTAAATAGCAATAGTAGACAATGATTTTATTCATAGCTCCCATTAGCAGCTTATCTCGTTATGCAAAATAGAATTGTATGCACTATGCAGCTGTGGAATAAATATATTTTCCAAGCTATAACCAGATCTCTCCAGACGATTTTTGAGCTGCAATATCTGCTAACATCAATGACACAAAAGTTGCCACTGAGCATCTACTTCACATACCTTGCTACTCTTCAGTAAAAACCATATATTCTTGGACACAATTATAATTTTTAGTGTTTGATTGCCACACAATCACTAAGAAGGTTTCTTGGTTATGTTAGAAAGTTGAGGCTCAGTTTTGTTAGCAAAATATTAGGTATCCTTTGAAAGCTGGAACATAAGCAACACGACAAAGTTAGTAGCATTGATGGTAGATGAATTACCTCCAAACTACTTCTTAACAAATGCACACAGTCAAACAGTGACTCAGTAAGATTATAAAATTATTGAAAATATGCAACTTTGCAGCTGTGAAATTTCAGTACTAAGATATAATTGCCCAATCTTATATATATGAATTATTTTACTGTATATACTTATTGTATTCACTCTACTCTCTACTATGTATATGTGCTGAGCACTGAGCAGCTGAAGTCAACCTTTGTCCCAGTTTAGGTTAAGCCACATATATTAATCTACACTTTAACAGTTAATTGGCATCAAGCAGATCCTGGCAAGGAATATTTGTGATATCCTGATTTCCTGAGCTATGACCCAGGGTGAAGAGGGTGCAAGCAGCATTGCCAAGATACGGATTTTTAGCCCAAAGCATTGCCAGCCATTTTCTAGATCCGTTGCTGGGTAATTCTTAATAAGAAAGGGCTGCAAGCCACTTTGATTGTATATCCCTTACTCTCCAGGCACCGCAACACTTACACACATTGCAACTGATTTCCGGACAAGCTTCACTGCATCCTGATCCATCCAGCGTACTGGGAACCTTACTGCGTGCACTTGCTGTCTTTTAAGATTTGCAATTTTGCAGTCATTTCTAAAATGCATTAATTTCAATCAAAATGTGCCAGAAAGATCTTCAGAAGGCGTATATTTTGCTGCTGATGCGTTGCCAAATATCTTTTGATATTCACCCACTTTCTGCACCCTCACTACCCTGGGCTAGGTGCTAGGACATTATGTCAATTATCACAGGAGTTCGAAAGATTGAAAATTCCTGCTGGAAAAATGATCTCCTATATAATTATCAACCAAAATAAATGACTAATTCTCAAAATTTCAAAGTTATGAACACCATCAAACGGGGTAAAAAGGGAGAGTTTTGAGCTTTTTTTGTTAATAACTTCTTACCATGAAATATTTCAGAAACAAGTTTAGGCTCATTTTATAGCTCTTTGTGAGGGCTATTCAATGGCATCTTCAGAAAATCCATATGCTATTTGTAAGGTGCCAGACGCAAAATAAAACCGTCCCGATTTACCCCTGGGAATGGGGTAATCTGGGACACTTGCAATAAAAGTTAAATTTAAAAGGTTTGAAGCATGCAGAGTGTACTCATCCATTACTAACAGTACTCTGAAGTCCTCTTCTTTTATTGTAGATGATGTAGATGTAAAATAAATGACATTTTCTGTGATTTTTACTTGTTTTTATTTTATTGATATTATATTACCATATTCATTAATTACCGTATTATTAATGTGCTATTACTGTATCCATGGACATGCCATTGAGCATTGACAACGACTTTAATCACTGCAAGCTTCATATCAGCAGCCATGTAGCATTTCTTCTGTATCTGTAAGCTTACGGGATGGTTTGTAATTTCACACAATTTTAATCAAGTCAAGTGATTTCACTATAACAAAAAAGATTGTGAAAAACATACCTGAAACAGGAAATAATGTTTTAGTGACAACCATATGTTTTAGAGAAACGAATCATAGTTTAGGTCAATTACTTTTAATTCTATGATGCCCGGTGCACAATTCTATATACAGCAATCCCTTGATTAGCACGGTTTTGAATACCGCGGTTTTGATTAACGCGGAAAAAAAAATTGCGACCTACCCTTAATCTACGCGGTGCCAGTTTTGATTAGCGCAACTTTTTTTTTCACAATGCATCATTTTCCCGCCTCTAGCCAGAGGTGTTACGTTCGTAACAAAAGTGTTACTTTTTGCTTATTAGATCTTATGTTGTTACTTTTGTTACGACTTTTGGAAAAATTTGCCAAATGTTGTTACTTTATGAATTTCAGCCAATAATTCTTTAAATAAGGTCCCGTTCCGTAGGCACTCGTGCTGACTACAGAGTCAGTTTAACTGCGCCTTGTCTCGTTCATAACTCGAATGATCGAGTTCGGCAACGTTCGCCGATAAGTGCGCCATGCCGGTGCTCTAGCCCTTTAAGCCCTGGTGCGACAAATTCGTCACACAGAAAATAAAAGCTTCTACCGAGAGTAATTACATGTTTGGAGTCTAGCCGCGAGTGTGACGGTAGCGTCACATGTTATGAACTCGTTCGAACGACGTTCGATGGAGTAGGCGCGTCGCTACTGCCAGTTTAACACAAAGACTGCGCGTGATCTGAGAAGTAATTCAGATTGTTTTTTCACTTTCGAAACATAATTCAGTGCGTAAAGGGCTAGTTACTCGTTAGCCTTTAACTGGTCAAGATCGCTGCCATATATACTGCTCACTTTTATCAAACTACATAATTTTCCTTTCCTTTGCTATTTTTGAGGATTCATTATAATTATTCCCATATATTCTTAAGTTTGATTAGCGCGGTTTTGCTTAACACGGTAAAACTCGGGGATTTATTAACCGCGTTAATCAAGGGATTGCTGTATAGCATTCTATGTGCAATTTTGTGACGACCGATGATGCACTAATTTTTCAATAAGTGAATTTTTTTTGCTGAGCGAGGTATATATAATCAAAATTCTTTGTTGTTAGTCAATTTTTTTGTTAACTGGAACCTTTGCTGAGATTCTACTGTAAATGCATTTTTAAGGGTGTCCCTAATTACCCCAGGGGGGTGTCCTGAGTAGCCCCGCCATGCGGAAATGGCAGCCATTTTTTTTGGCATGAGATAGGCAAATTCCGTCAATTACGTTTAAAAGCCGACTTTCTGGGTGCAACTTTTATGTAACTAAAATTTTTTAATATGGCAAATATTTTTTTGCTCCAGACCTTAGTAGAGGTACTTTTCCAAAATCACACTTTTCACACTTTTTTTCAGCAATTTTTTAGAGATAGTAAATGTTTGATTTCTTGACTAGCTTTATTCATAATAGATAGTAAAAATGTTGAAGTTTACACCACTATATTTAGTTTTGCAATATTTTGATTAGTTTAGCTGCTACATTTCTACGAAATGTGGGATGCATGTCCCGATTTACCCCGCCCGTCCCTTTTTACCCAGTTTGACAGTATAAGAATGGAAATGACGCTTCTATTTCAGAATGATAATGGAAATGTTCCTACTATTTCAGAAACTTTTCTTGAATACACTTCCAAATACTAAAGTTCTGTAATCAATGGAGTCTGAAATGATGTTGCAGGGAGAGCTATATTGCTTTTTAGCCCAACCCTTTGGCTATCATCCTCGTTTATTTAATGTCTGTGCTGTGTTTTTCTCATTATGTAATTTTTCTGTTTTTCTTCTCTAGTCCAGACAAGGAAGTAAAATCATTAATGTAAAGTAAATTCCAATACTAAAGCATAATCCTAATGCAAAATTCCAATGAATAACTAATAACTGCACCAGTATGGGAACCTAAGCTAACTCACCACTTGAGAGGAAGTGAGTGATTATTTATTGCATATATTCATTTTATTACTCAATTGATGTTGTATTACAAATTGCTTATATTTTTGTGATTTCACTTTGTTTTTGATTTTCTATTAATTGTGTTCAGTGTGTTTTAATTCTGCAAGCTAAATATTTTGGTGTTCATTAATTCTTCATTAAGCTGTTTGCTGTGATATAAGTTTGCTTGATTACATTTTCTGCATCCATAAGCACCACAGTTGCTTTAAGAAGTCATTATTAAGGTTCTTGATTATTACTGTTTTTCTGCTTGTTAATTAATGCTTGTTCATATTTAATTCAATTCTTTATCTTATAGTCCTAGGGCTGTGATGCATAAAATTAATAAGTTTTACTTTCTTTTATGGCAGATCACATATGCATCTTGTCCATGCTCCTATTCCTTAGCTCCTGTTCTAGTTAGTCCATGCCCCTATGTATGTTAGTACATGCTCCTGTTCTAGTTAGTTCCTTAACTTCCATGCCCCTACTCTCCTTAGTTCCATGCTTCTTAGTTCCTTAGCTCCTATGCTCGTTAGTCCTATGCTCCAAAACTCTTTAGGTATATATCGACATTCTTCATTCACTTATGGACCACACTTGTATTCATTCCATAACCAAGAGCCATTTTCTTGAACTGTTATTCAAATTCTGTTCTATTTGTCAGTAATAAAAGATCAATTTTAGTCTCCTCATTATCCACTTCCTAAGTAGGTTGTTGCCAACCTATCAAGTAGAAGTAGGCAACGTGTTTGCCTCACCCGCGGGAGACACGCGGCAACATTGCCCATTTTACGAATGTTTGTGGGTGCTTTGTCAACATTGTTTACAAAGCACTGCATTTGCAGTGCTTCTGATGTCTCTTTGCGGGCCAATGTTGTTGATTGTTGTATTGCACTTCATCAAGGATCGAAGTAGAAGGGTGCACTATAGACCCTGAATGTTTTATTTAGGGTCTCCTGCATTATTGCATTTCCTAACCGATCTTTTTGAAAATTTATTGCACTAGCCATTCTTTTTTTCAAATGTTTTTTGAGAAGCCAAATGAAACCAGA